TTCTAGAGGCGTCTAGGACCTAGGGTCTTGGAACCTGCATGGTTTTGGGTTTAGTACATTTCAGATTTTGAAGGGTCGTTCGGGGTTGCAAGGCAGTTTAGGTCTGAAGGGAAGGTTGAGGGTTTAGGGCTTCGGGTCTATAAGGGAAGGTTTAAAGGGTTTAGGCCTTAGGGTTTAAAGGGGAAGGTTTAGGGTTTAGGGTTTCGGGTTGAAGGGGGGTTCAGGGTATAAGGGCTTAGGGCTTAGGCTTTGACGGGAACCTTCCTTCCTTGCAAAGCGTCTCGAACGTGCTGCGGGCCTGCCCTTAGGGCACGCTCCGCTGGAAGGGAATTCGTCAGACGTGTGGCTCTTCCCTGAGGCCCTAGCAGCCTGGGAACTTCTCAAGCTAATATAGGGGCCTTAATAATTAGAGTAGGGGTGTTGGGGCCCATTGTACTATAATTCAAACAAGATTAAGGGGTTTCGGGTTAAAGTATGAATTAGGCTAATCCCCTGTGCAACACAGTTCCTCTGAGTTCCTTCGTTCATGCCGGTTTGCGGTTTTAGAGCGGTTTTACACCCTGATGCCTACAGTACAGCGGGATTTGCACCCGGCGGCATCATCTCTGCGACATGTTGCCTGCGGCCGCTGCCGCGGCCAGGCAGGAGGTGGGACAGTAGCCTCAATTTTCAAGCAACAGTTGAGCACCGATTATCGGTTATCGTAGTCCAACAGCTAATCTGGGGTCGTCATTTTTGGGCTCCTTAGTACAAATTACAAATAAAAGTAATAATCCCACAGGAAGGCAACAGTTCAACACCAATAATGACCAATAATCGTAGTCCTAAAGCTACTGGCATTAGTAGTGGTCATACTGTATTGGTAACCGGATGCAAGGGACGTTTCTGAAACACGAAAAGCTGCGGATGCCGAGTAAAATGCAACCTTCGGACAACACGGCACCCACTCAGGGTAAACGCATAAACGCGAAACTGGTAAACATTGAAGCACCAAGCAGTTCAAAAGAAACGCCAGGCGCGCTCAACTCTACGTTAAACCCTAAACCCTACTTGGAGGGGCAGGGCACTTAGTAAGTAGGTTATAAGTAGAGTTATAATGTACCCTAAATGGAATTACCCCAATTATAATACTTATAAACGACTTACTAAGTCCCGTGCCCCTCCAAGTAAACAGTCCCTTGAGAGGTGCGCCCGGTCGCTTAGAGGTGTGCCCGGCTGCTTGCACCCGCACGTCTCCGGGCACCTTACTGCTGATGGACAAAATCCTGCATTACCCATTATAAGATCATACCATACTTCCCATAGTTTAGAGTCCTTAGGGTCATGCAGGATTTTGTCCATCAGCCGTATCATGAGTGAGCTGCAAGGGAATGGTAAGTGTGTACTACAAGATTCATGCAGGGCCTTAAGATTCAGAACAGGGTTTTGCGGCCCAGTATACTATAGCAAAAATATAAGGAACCCGCCAAAATAGCATTGGCATTTAGGCCCCTATAGTAAACGTTTAGGGTCTAGCGGTCTAGCCGTCAAGGGCTCAGGGCTTTGAATTGAGGCCTGGTCATCATGATTGAAGCCCTGGCCGTAACCTGCTAGCTACGTCCGTGATGCTGAAAAAAGTGGTGCGCTTCGACGCACGAGGGTTCAGGCCTTAACGCGACGAGTTATGCCGTAAACCCCCAAAACCGAATGCAGGTGCCTTAATAAGCATTAGACTAGGGCTTTGTGGCATATGATGCTACAAATCGGACCGGGAAACCCGAAGCATAGTACCCAGAGACTCCAATACAAGGGATATACCTTAAATTATAGTAGGATCCTACTATGATTTTAAGGAATATTCCTTAATTAAGGGATATTGGAGTCTCTGGGTATATATATTCGTAATTTGCAGGCCGGGGACCGGGGATGTAGGTCTCATTACGATACGGGCCTTAACAATTAGAATAGGGTTTTTGGTGGCCGCCAAAAAGAAAAGGTAACTCTTGAAGCCCCTAGATTTTTTCTGGGGGCTTAGGATGGTTTGAATGATTTTCAAACGACGTTCAAGTTGGTTTTTCGCCGTAAGTGTTTGAAGCATAGTTCCAGATCTTGGATTTCTCAAGATGCTAGGTTAGCGGTTGGGATTTGGCAGCACTTGGGGACAGAGGTGTCCTTTCCCTTTTAAGCGCGCTGCAGTGATTTTGGGGTTTACGTTTTAAGGTGTTGCCGCCCACTCTGTTGCAGGTTGGGGCTCAGGTTTCAAGCATAGGTTTTGGTCATGAGAGTTTCAAGTTCGGGTCTAGTCTAGAGGGCTACAAGTTGAGAACTTCAGTTAAGGCTGAACAGTTTGGAGTCTACGGATTCGGATTTATGGGCTTAGTGCCCCTGCCACCATATGAAACGGTCCTCTCGAAACCTGAAAAGAACCCGCCCCAAGCCCTACCCAAGCCCCCATAGTAGTTCCTTTTTGGGATTACCTTATAGGATTCTATATATGAACCCCAACAAGGAACTACTTTGGGGCCTTTGGGTAAACCCCAAACCCTGAACCTTGCTGACCGAAGCCGACACACCTTCTGCCAGAGTGACACTCCTTTAGTATACATTACCATGGTATGTTATAGAAGGGGCCCCACCCCCACCCTGTAATAGTGGTATAATAGGAGAAAAATAGGGCCCTAGTATATATTACCACAGTATGACATAATGCCAATAATTTATGTCCCAACCTTAACCCTGAATAACCTACCTCTTTATGGTTCCTTATTATGACTTCCTTATATAACTCCTTAAAAAAGGCAGGCTATTCCGGGTTAAGGAAGCCACAACACCCAAAACAACCACACCCCCAGCCGGCTAGGCACAAGTACGCCAGCGGCTGAAAGAGATCAGCAAAACCTGCATCATCGAAATTTCAGGACGTCTGCTCAAGGAGAAAAGGTTTATATATAGGGTTTAAGGTTTAGGGTTTAGGGATTCAGCGGATTCCTGCGTTCAAAACATCCTTACGATGCGGTTTAGGACTACACTCAAATATTAAACCTGAACCCTAAAAGTCTGAAGCCTCAACAATGAAACTCCTAGATAAACACGCCGCCCTAAAGCCCTAAAAAACCCTAAACTCTAACCTCTAAACCCTAAACCCTAAATCCTAAACCCTAAGCTGAACCCCTAAAACCCTAACCTCTAAACCCTAAACCCTAAATCCCAAACCCTAAGCTGAACCCCTAAACCCCCAAAAAACCCCAAAACAGCTCCTGGGGCCTTAGGAGTGTGAGTCGGTTCCGTGAAGTTTATGCTTATCGCTTAGGGCCCAGAGACTCCGAATACCTAGGGTTCCTTTTAGGGATCTATAGGGGATCTATGCAGGGTTTAGGGTTTAGGGGACTCCAATATACCCCTTAATTAAGGGATATACCATAAATTATAGTAGGATCCTTAATATGATTTAAGGAATATTCCTTAATTAAGGGATGTTGGAGTCTCTGGGGGGGTGGTTTTAAGCTTTAGGGCCTTTGGGGTTTGCGCTTTGGCTTTTTTCGTCATTTTTTTGGAGAGGGGGGGGGAGGCGGCGGGGGGGGCTTGGGGTTTAGGGCTTAAGGCTTGGGGCTTCGGGTTTAGGGAGGCGTAAGTCGGGCCTTTAGGGCTTTGGAGTGTAGGTTGAAGCTTCCTAAACCCTAAACCCCTAAACCCTAAACCCTTCCGGTCGTGACTTTAGGATTGTGGGGCTCAGGGACTTGGCGATGGGTTTTTGGCTTTCGGATGGCGGTCCAACCGGTTTCCCAGACCCCCGGGAGGATCCAGAAAGTAGATCCCCTAATTTGGGGCCCTTTACTACGAAGGGTACTTTACAGGGACCCCCATTAAGGGATCTGCTTTTTGGATCCTGCCGGGGGTCTGGGTTATCGTCAGCATGCTCTGATTTGGGCAACTTTAGTTTCACGGCCCCACAACGGTCAAAAACAGCGGCGTGCAGAGACTTGTGAACGCACTGGGCCCGAACACAACGCGTGCTATGTGGCTTGAGTATCGAACGGGTTCACAGTTCAGAATCATGAAAACAGACATGAGTTTGTTATCATATTATTACCCATAGGCCCCAAAGTAGCTCGGTTTTGGGATTACCTTGTAGGAATCTCAATATGAACGACAAAAAGGAACTACTATGGGGCCTCAGGGCAATGCCCAAAATACTAAGCCCGAAGACCCTACTTGGGGGGGGGCAGGGCGCAGTAAGTAGGTTATAAGTCGAGCTATAAGTAGCCTAAATGGAGTTACCCCAATTATCAAAAGGGGAAATGGAGGGACCCTTAATGGCGACCCCTACCCTATCATGGGGTATATAATGGGCACATAATAACTATATTAAGGGTATATACCTAGGGGTCCTTACTAAGGGTCCCTCCTTTTCCCCTTTGAAATTACAACCCAACTAAAAAACGACTTACTAAGTCCCCTGCCCCTCCACCTAAACCCTAAACCCCATAGATCCCTTTAAGGAAGCCTATAGATCCCTTTAAGGAACCCTATAGATCCCTTTAAGGAACCCTTTAGATCCCTTGAAGGACCCCACGACCTCGCGGCCCCCAACTCTCCGAACACTTTCGCGATATCCGCAGGCCTTCACAGTAGGTGGCACCTGTGAACGGGGTTTAGGGTTTAGTGTGAAACCAATGCCCCTGCTGCAAAGGATGACAGCACAAATCGGAGGCCCCTGCCGCAAGGACGACAGCACAAATCCGAGGCATTCTGGTTCGCGAGAAAAGGCTCCCCCGGCGGGGGTCTTCACTTTGTAGGTCGGGGGCTCTTCGGGGGGGCGGTTGTAAGCTTCTGCAGGGTCTAGGCCAGGGTCCCGGTGCTTTTGAGTTTCGTCTTGTCGTTTTACATTGGTAGCGGAGCCCGGGCCGCTTTCCGGGTCTTTCCTGTAGTGTGTCGTTGTTCTCTTGTCTCGTTGTGTTGTCGGTGAGGGCTGCCTTCAGGGCTTCTTTGTCTCTTTGGGGGTTCGTAGTGCCTACGCGCCAATGGCGTTCTCGGGTGCTGGAGCAAGTAATCCTACCTCCTATTACAGCAACGCTCCTGCTACGGATCAGAGTGATCAGACTGCTCGGGCTCAGGATCAAGGTGACGGAAGGGTTTGGGATGATTCTTCTTGGAACCGGGGTGATCAATGGGCTTGGCAGGGATGGTATAGACCATACGGCTACCGCTATCACTGGTCTTGGGGTTCAAAGGCCGAGTGGAGTACAGACGGTGGAGATTTCTCCAGTGGATCACCGGGCGAGGGTGATGATGATCAGGGCTCAGGTGGGCGCCAAGATGAGCATCCATCGCATGAGCTCCGCAGTTCCGAGGGCGAGAATGCGGGTTACAATCGGAGGGCTTCTTGGAATTCTTCCGGGAAGTGGGCTGGAGACTCATCGACAGGGATCTCTAATTCACATGATGATGGGAACCTGGGGTCCGAGGCCACAGCTACGAAGGGCTCTTTCAACGAGAGGATGGCAGTTCCGGGATTCGATGCTCAGAGTTCTGGGGAGGAGCTTGGCATGAGCGCTAGGTCTTATCTTCGCCAGGTGGACGCATGGTGCAAGGTAACGAGGACACCCAAACATCAGCAAGCCCTTCTACTCTATCAGAACCTCTCGGGAAGGGCATGGGTTGAATCAGAGGAATTGAGCGTTGAGGATCTCTCGGGCAACAACGGTGTATCAATCTTTCGAGCTTGGATTCAAGAAAGGTATCAGGAAGTCGAAGTGTCAAAGATTGCGGAAAGCCTTACTGCATTCTTTAAGCGGCTTCGTCGTCAATCTGGGCAAACCATCAGGGAATTCAACTCGGCTTTCGATAGGAGTCACTCCCGACTCCTAGAAATCGACTGCCGCCTCCCAGAGGTGGCAAAGGCATGGGCCTATCTCAACGCGCTTAGCCTGAGCAGTTCAGAGGAATTGGCTTTGCTGGCTTCGGTAGGGAATGAGTACAATGTGACAAAGTTGCAGCGCGCAGCAGTGTTGCATGAGAAGTCCCTACGCCCTCCTTGGCAACCCCGGAAAGGGCCTTATCAGGACATTGGCGGTAAAGGGCAGAAGGGGGTCAAGGCTTCCTATATGACTGGGGTCGATGAGGTTGATGAGGATGAAGAGGTTTACCAGGGGGCAGATGACGAGGTGCTTGCAGAGGAAGAAGCCGTTGCGATGCACGAGGCGTATGTAGCTCAGGAGACCGCAAAAGCCAGATATCGTGAGGTCTCCAAAGCACGGGGTGTGGATCCTAGTGTGCTGCGGAAGGGTGTCAGTGAGAATCCGGGGAAATCCAACATCGAGGAGCGCCTTGCACAGGCGAAGGCACGATCGTTCTGCGCCGGGTGCGGCAGGCGAGGACACTGGCACAAGGACAGCACATGTCCTCTCAACAAACCGGAGAACCAGCAGCTCGGCAACAAAGGGAATGTCCCTAAGTCCGGCGGGGATCAACAGGCCCATGTGACATCCTCCAGCGGTGATGGGAGCGGATCGGTTGTTCAGGTTGCTTACGAGGTCGGGTACCCGAGTGGCAACAAACTGTATGCAATCACGGACACCGCTTGCAGTAAGTCGGTTATGGGTCAAGGATGGCTTGAATCCTACTTGAAACTGGCGAGGAACGCGGGCCTGGAAACCCAGTTTGTGAACGCCTCGGACGATTTCAGGTTTGGTGCTTCGAAACTCTTCCGAGCTACATACACAGCAACCATCTTGATCGAGGTTGGCGGTAAACCGTTTGCGGTCAGGGCTTCGGTGGTCGAGGGTGAGGTTCCGCTCCTTCTCAGTCGGAAGGTCCTGAGTGTTTTGGGCATGGTGTACGATGTCGATGAGAACACGGCACGGTTCAAGCACCTGGGAGTCGACAACATCATGCTTTCGACCACTGACAATGGCCACCCCGCCTTGATCGTGAATCCGAGGGTAGGTCATAATCCCAAGTTGCCGTCACCCCAAGAGTGGGCTGATGATGAGGTGAAGCTACTCCCTCTCGCCAGGAAGCAATACACGGTGCATACATCTCTCATGACCTCGTCTCACGATCTTGAGGTCGAACACCAATATGTTAGCGGAGGTGTAGATAGCAAACTTCCCTCGCGAGGACCGCTGGCGAGTGTGACTCCAAGACTATTTTACCCCAAGAAGATCAACCCGACTATCCGGAATCTCTTGAGTGCCACTGCCCTTAATCATGAAATGTTTGCAGCTTGGTGGAGTCGAACCCCTATTACCAAGGACTTCTGGATTGAGACACCAAGTGCCTTTGTGAGAATCCACGTAGTTCCCAGAAAAGGACTGTTCGACCCGAGCCAATGGAGCACCGATCAGATCCACATCAAGGAGATGCTTCTTGACGCCATCGGGGAGATGAGGTGCACCTCGGCAATTTCATGTGGGAGTTCGCATGCGTTACATCAAGTGCATGACGCATGGAGAGGGGAAACGAGTTCACAACATCCAGTTCTATGGGTCGGCAGGACTGTTTTCTCCCGAGCTTCCTGTAGCACTCCTTTTGAAGATTCCCTCTCGAATCCTGCGGTTGCTGCTCCTGAAGATGGCCTCCTCATCCGAGACAACGGGGAATGTGTGGCACATGACGAAGGCGCAGCTCATCTCGAAGGCGATGGGCATGGGGATCACGATCCACCAATCTTGGAGTGTGGGCGAAATTCGCCAGCTTATCCAGGAGAAGAAGAAGGCCATGGGCGAGATCTCAGAGGTCCCGAAAGGGTTGGCATCAATGAACAAAGCCCAACTCCTAGAGCAGTGCCGGTTGTTGGAAATCGAGGTGCCCGAGAAGGCGACGAATGGCCACTTGACCCTCCTCATCCGGGACTGTTGCACCAGGAACAAAGGGGATGCGGTGGTGAGTTTCGGGCGACACCGCGGCAAGTTGTTCCGGGAAGTACCCCAGAGTTATCTTCGCTGGGCTTTGGCAGAGGTAAAGGAGCGGGGCCCGGAAGGGTCCAGCCCGGACTTAGTGAGCCTGAGCAGGTTCGCGGCGCAAGTCCTCCAGGAGGTTCCCGAGGTGAACAACAAGGATCCGGAAATGAACTCCATGGTGCCAGTGCCGCAGGACGTGGAGTCGGTGGCGAGCTGGGGATCCGAGGGGTGGAGCGAGTTGTCTCCCGAGGCCCGGAAGCTCAACAGCCAGGCGAACTCAAGGCAGGTGTCGATGGCTGCGCCGAAGAGCGCTATGCGGTCCCCATCGGTGAAGCGAACCACGGATCATCAGGGCGAGCCCGGGAAGGCGATGATGAATCAAGATGTGCCTCCAGAGGTGAAAAAGGAGATCGACGAGCTGATGGCGAAGGTGGCATCGCTAAAGGATCGCTACAATCTCTAAGTGGGGACGCCCATGGGGGTGATAGCTCTGAGGATGAAGACCTTCAGAGCGAACCGGATTTCGAGGTTAAGACCCAGGAGATCCATGTCCTCCCCGGGGTACGTGATGTGGAGATTGCGTCAGGGGAAGTCTTCTATGAATGCCGAAACGGCGACTTCAGTACAGATGCTGGAGTCACCAAAGTCTCTAGCGAACATCGTGCGCGAGACCTTCTTCGCAGAAAAGACTTCAGCTTCGAAGCATGTGAAGGGCTCCTCATTGACGTGTGTGAACACTGCCAGGCTAGTAGAAAGCGCAAGATCATGGATGGCACGTGCAGTGTGGCCTTCGGGGCCTACTCCCATGGGAACCACTATGGGGTGATCCGGCGCACGTATCAGCATTGGTACGTGACGAAGTATGTGAATGCCTTCATGCGTTTCCATGGTGCCAAGGGTCAGTGGAGTAGTGTGCAGTTGTGTTTCAATTGTCATGTCGGTCCTCATAAAGACGTTCACAACCTCGGGGACAATTGGACTATTTCCTTTGGGGACTTTGAGGGCGGACGTCTTTGGCTAGAACACAACGACCCAACCAAGGTTCCAGACGCCATTGAGTCCCGCGAGGCGATCCTTGCCGACGGCTCCAAGGCGATCGGATGCTTGGTGGATACAAGACATAACATGTACAAGTTCTGTCCCAAGCGAAAACATGCCGTAGAACAATGGACAGGGAATCGTTGCAGCATCATCGCCTATGTCACTCGTGGGATTGGTGAGCTTAGCAGGCCCGAACGTGATGTTCTCAGGAGCTCCGGTTTCCCTTTGGGCAGAAGTGAAGGTGCATGTGCTTGGGAGAAAGAGCATGAGACGAGGCCGAAGAAGAGCATTAGGAAGAACCTTTGGAAGGGAGCTCGAAGGGCAAGTTCGCTCCTCACTCTCAGTCTCGCAGCGGCATCGTCGTTCATCTCAGAGAATATACCCTTTGGAAAACCACCGCATCAGGCATGCCTCTTCGAGATCGGCGGCAATGAGTTGACGCTGGACATGATCGAGGCGGGTTTTCAGGCCATCGAACCTCTCAGTTGGGGCGACTATGTTGATACTAACCATGCTCTGAAAGTGACTGACGTGATCAACAATCTTAAGCCCAATGTCGTTTGGTTTCAAGGTTGTGATGAGAGCAACAATTTCATTGAGCAGATCGTGGCCACTGCCGGACAGCAGCTAGAACATGGCGGTTCTGTTGTATACCATGCCGACAAGAACGATCATGTCTGGGAGAATAGGATCATGAAATGCTTCATGAATGAGAACGCTCATCTTCTAGAAGACCAAGGTGAAGCGTGGCTTCTTCGTGTAGGGGGAGTACTTCATGATACCGGAGATTCAGGCGGAGAATGCGGCAATCTTGAACATGAGGCGCATGTTGTATCCCACGATGATAAGAAAGATCGACACGAACCCTTAGGTGCATCAGCTATTCACTTCAACAAGAATGTGCCGAAGCATGTCCAGGCCGCATTGACCAGACTACATCAGAACCTAGGGCACCCAAAGATCACTGACCTAGTTCGTCATTTGAGGTTCGCCGGTGCTGACGACGAGGTGATCAAGGCCTGCAAAGGGATGCGATGCGAAGTTTGCGATCGAAACCAGAGGACCGGGAGCGCTAGACCGGGGGTGCTACCTTCACTTCTAGACATGAACCAAGTGGTCAGTGTCGATGTCTTTTCGGTCTTTGACTCGGATCGTGTGCGGCATGAGTTTCTCTCAATCATTGACCACGCCACTACATTTCACTTGGTGTGCGAGCTTGAGGGTCACTCCGGCGAGGATTTCTGTAGGCAGTTCACCCAACTCTGGGGAAACGTTTTCGGGGCTCCTGGGACGATTTCAGCGGACTTAGAGAGCGGGCTCCAGCTTGGAGTTTCCAAGTACGCGGAGTTCCACGGGTGCCGGGTGAGATCCTCAGCTGGACAAGCACACTGGCAACAAGGGGTAATCGAGAGACACGGTTACTGGTACCAGGAGATACTCCAGAGGGTCATTGATGAGAAGTCCATCACGAGTGACGACATGTACATGGCGGTCCAGGCGGTGAACAGCGCTAAGAATGAACTTCGACGTAGACATGGTTTCTCCCCTACACAAGCCGTATTCGGTAAAGACCCCAGAGCACCCGAAGAACTAGAGTCCGGAGTTGACGAGGAGAGATTCATCGAGATCATGTCCGGTGACCAACGTCGACAACGTGAAGTTAGCATCAGAGCCTCGGCACGCATGGCATTCTTCAGAACTCAGATCGACTCGAAATTTCGCAGAGGGATGATCCAGAGAGCGCGTGTCAAGAGAGGCGGTTATGCGGTCGGAGAACTTGTATGTTTCTATAGGATCGAGAAGATTGCTACAAAACGTGGGCAATGGCGGGGACCGGGCACCATCATTGGCCACGAAGGCGGCAACTGGTGGGTGTCGTTCGGGGGACGTTGTCACTTGGTTGCCGAAGAACACTTGAGGCCGGCTACCTCTGAAGAGCTCGGAGAGCTCTTCTCCACCAGGATTGTGAGGGACGATTTGGAGAAACTCCTCGAGTTGGATCCTGATGACCCCGACACATACCAACCCCCCGATGAAGAGATCCCAGAGTTTGAAGATCCGTTCCAGGAGTTCCCAAACAACGACCTCGAGGACATGGACTACGAGCCCAGTCTCCCCGAGGAAGATGGACAGGACATGGTTGTTGATGACGATGTTCGGGGTGCTAAGCGTGACGGTGACCCTTCTGATGTGCCTCCTGTTGTTTCTAGACGGGTTCGAAGAAAGGGCCAGGGAGTTCGTGTCCATTCAGCCAACATGTTGAAGCGGTGCCAAACGGAGCGAGCCCTCGAAAAGCAGCTCGAAAAGGAGATACCTTGGAAGTTGGTGCCTCCGGAAGAACATGCTGCATTTCGTGCCGCGGAACTAAAACAGATGAAAGAGCACTATGAACATGATGCACTGGAACCTCTTTCGGTCGAAGAATCCGCCGAGGTGAACGATCGTGTACACAGCAGCAGGATCCTCTCTTCGAGATTCGCATATCGAGATAAACATTGGAGTCGTCGGAAGATCGATGCGAGTGTTCCTTGGAAACACAAAGCACGCTTAGTAGTCTCAGGACACAGAGATCCAGACATCCAACACCTTGAGACGGATGCTCCCACCATCGGGCGCCTCACAGTTCTCACTTTGCTGCAGATAGTAGCCAGTCGTCGTTCGAAGTTAGGATGGATGGCATCAGCTGGAGACATCACGGCGGCATTCTTGAACGGAGACCCGTTGGAGAGGGAACTGTATCTTCGTCAGCCTAGAGGTGGTGTGGAAGGTCTTCTACCAGAACAGCTTTTCAGGGTGAAGAAAGGGATATTCGGGCTACCCGACTCGCCTAGGAAGTGGTGGCGGAGATTGAGGCGAGATATGCTGAGCATCAAGATCGATTTCCAAGGACTGACTCTTCGGTTCACACAATGCCCCTTGGATCCATGTCTATTTCAGCTGTGCGATCCCGAATCTGGCAAACCACTCGCTTATGTCGGGGTTCATGTCGATGATCTCTTAACGGTAGGCCCTAGAGACCTTGTGGGCTGTATCAAGAGCTCGCTGTCTGCAGTGTTTCCAGTGGACGACTGGGAAGACGACATGTTTGAGTATATCGGATCTCACGTCAAGGTCAGCGAAGAGGGCGTCTTTGTGGGTCAGGAGTCTTATGCTAGTTCCAGGTTATTCGAAGTTGAAGTACAGAAGGGTCAAGATGAACTGGAACAAGCAACAGAGGCGCAAAGGGTCGACAACCAATCCCTTATTGGTGCCTTGTCTTGGTTGAGTGCACAATCGAGACCAGATCTTCAGTGCAGTGTGTCACTTGCGCAACAACTCCAGAAAACCCCGACGGTTGAGGATATCAAGTTCACCAATAAGATCGCAAAGAGAGCTTGGGAGCACAGGGATAAGGGGATCTGGCTTCGTCCACTTGACTTGTCATCCTTGGAATACTTAGTCTATCACGACTCTGCCTGGGCTAATGCACTGTTGGAAGGGGAAGAGCACTTTATTCTGAGTCCCGAAGATCATGAAAAGGGGACTATGAAGGAAGGCCCCTTCGACAGGAAGGCACGAAAAGCCAAGAAGGAGAATTCCAAGGTTGCTAGCCAAATGGGCATCCTCATTGCCCTCGTTGATGCGAACGGCTTCAAAAGTGGAGGCGGCGAGGCTAGCATCATCGATTGGAAATCTACGGCTAATCCTAGGGTATGCCGATCAACCTTCGCTGCCGAGACCACTGCCTGTTCTGAAGCCGTGGAGATGGGCCAGTATGTCCGCTCATTCGTGGAATCAGTGCTACACGGAAGCCTGAAGAAGATTAACGATGTTGCGGGATCCAAGCTCAGATGCCTGACAGATTGCAAATCCCTCTATGATCATCTTCACCGTGAAGGAGTACCGCGGGTTCCGTCAGACAAACGCCTGGCTATAGACCTAGCCGCTCTTAGACAAACATTCGACCTGGAGCGCGTCCGGGATAGAATTCCTCTTTATTGGGTGCCAACCGAGTTCCAACTTGCCGATATCTTGACTAAGCCGAAAAGTCCGGATGGCTGGTGGGACACAATTTGCAGTTGCATCCGATTACCCTTCGTCAAGAGAGTAGGCGAAACCTCCGAATAGGAGGACAGAACTTTTAACCTGTGTGAAACCAATGCCCCTGCTGCAAAGGATGACAGCACAAATCGGAGGCCCCTGCCGCAAGGACGACAGCACAAATCCGAGGCATTCTGGTTCGCGAGAAAAGGCTCCCCCGGCGGGGGTCTTCACTTTGTAGGTCGGGGGCTCTTCGGGGGGGCGGTTGTAAGCTTCTGCAGGGTCTAGGCCAGGGTCCCGGTGCTTTTGAGTTTCGTCTTGTCGTTTTACATTTAGGGTTTAGGGTTCCCAATACCCCTTAATCTTATAATTTAAGGTATATTCCTTAACTAAGGGGTATTGGGCTCTCTGGGTGTGAACGGGACGACGCAGCACTAAGTTTTCATGGCTTTTATCTAATGTTGCCGCGAAGCCTTAAACTTCTAAACTTTAAACCCTAAACCCTAAACCCATGAATCTGAACCCGTCTAATTAGGGCTTTAGGTTTTCGGGCCGGGGATTTGAGGTAAATGCTGCCGTGCAAGGCCCAGACCCTGAACCCTAATTAGATCCTAACCCCTAAAGGTCCTTAAACTTAATCCGGCTTTGGACTTTTCTCCCTGGTGCTTAGTAGGGAATGGGGAATGGATATTGGGGACTATTGTTGGGGATCATATAGGGACTACGATAAGGATCCCCCATTCCCTACTAAGAACCAGTCAGTTTTTCTGTGGGCTTTGGCTTCTTTGTAGAGTTTATGGTTGAGGCTGAGGGTGTTCCGGGGTTGTTGAGTGGCCTGGCCCGGTCACTCAGACTAATCCGAAACCAGACATTTGGGTGCTTGTCAAAATTATGGCCCCTTGTTGGGTCCCTATCATAATACGGCACCTATTAATTAGGGTGCCCCAACAGGGACCATAATTTCGACAACCACCCATTTGGAAACACTATGGCTTGGAGATTGAGGTTGACGATTTGGGCGAAGTGTCAAAGCCAATCTCTCGATCTCGCATGTACAGTCTGCATTGAACCGTTTACAGGGTTTAGGGTTTAGGGTTGGTGCTCAGCAGATATCACCGGCATGTTAGCTATGTTTGATTTACCTTGCTTCTCCGGCACTCTCTGCTCTCGGAAACCATCCTGCGGATTTTGCCGGGATCCCACATGTTACTTAGCTCAGGTTGAGACTGAGAGTAAACCCTAAACCCTTCAGGGGTTACATAGGGACCTACATCCTGAACCCTACGGTTGATGATATAAATCCTGCATTACCCATAATAAGGAATATACCAGACCGTTTGAACTATATGGCTCAACAATCCGAGACCTCCAACTCCTGGTTCAGCAAAAGCTTTTGGTGTGGTGCTCATGTATTTTTGCTCCACGAGCTGTGGACGATGATGTGTCGGATGTCCTAGAACCACGCTAAACTCTGATGTATCACCTTAACCCCTAAGTGTCCGCGCGTCTGCCTGGAGTCTCGTGCAAAGAGGCTGAGTCGCCGATTACTGGTCGAGCAAAGATCCAAGTCAACCACTACTGTTGATGATATAAATCCTGCAGTACCTCAAGGACCCTAAACTATGGGACATCTGCGTTGGCAGCACCAGTCCGCGCAGTGATGTTGCCAGTAGTAGGTTAAGTGGCAGTGGCAGCAGCAGAAGCAGTAGCAGTAGCAGCAGCTGTAGCAGGAGCACTATAGAAGCTAGTAGTAGCAGGAGGACGAAGAAGAGGACTACAAGCAGGACTAGCAGCAGCAGTAGCAGCTGCAGCGGAGAGAATGGCAGTGACTGCGCTAGCGGTAGTGGTGGTAGAAGACCCAAGAAAAGGACCAGGGGAAGCGAGGGATCATTTTATGTTCTCACCAGCACGGCACGAGCAACAACAACGACCAGTAAACCCTAAACCCTAAGAAGAACCAGAAAAAAAGGCTTAGGCCTATGGTTGCGGGCCTGAGAGGAAGTCCACCGGAACGATCTCCAACCCGGGACAGCCGACGACTTTCATCATGTTGATCGAATCGTTAACGTTTTGCCAGACCTCAACGAGCGAATATCGGGTGTTCACAATTCGATTAGGGTTTCTTTGGGCATAGTATAGGATAGTCTAGCCTAGTATACTGCCACATTCAAGAACCCTAGGGAATAAATGATGGAAGCTATTCAGGCACCTATGTTACAAGTACAATTTATGAACGCTTCTTGGGAATGGGATGTGAGATTCTCTGGGTCCGAACCGAATACCAGACGGCATGGCCTTAAAGAAAGGGAAGTCGGAAGAACTGATTAATGTCTCTTGAAGACCTAAGAGTAGCCTAGGAATAAAAAGGGTGCCCTTTTTGGTTTAAAGGGGGTTATAAGGGAACCTAAACCCTAAAAAAGGGAATAAGGGCCTACTCCGGGTCCTAGTCTTTGAAGTCCCAACCCTAAGAGTCCATGTACCCGTACAGAGATACATGGGCCCCAAAGTACCTATATAGAGTCTACATTAAGGCCAATGTATATTATACTATATGGATACATGGACCCTTAGGGCAACACAGTTACACCACAACAATCACTAGTTCTGCGTTGGCATCCCCAAATCTTAAACCTCCCTGAGACGTGGAATTTCGCGGACTGGCTACGATAACTGTGACCGCGAGCAATTACAAGGCCGGCCGATCGGAAGAGCATGGCCTAATGTATGTGAATTGTATTTGTCTTGGCCCCGGAGACTCCAATATCCCTTAAATAAGAAAATAGTCCTTAAATCATACTAGGGATCCTACTATAATTTAAGGAATATTCCTTAACTAAGGGATATTGGAGTCTCTGGGGCCCTCACGTTAGGACTATTGTAGCGACACGTACATACTATTCGGGACCATGGGGTCTGAATAGTTTGAGTTTGGGCACTGCCCCCACTCTGTAGTAGTCTGCATTCGGTGTCATAGTAAGGGATATAGATGACAGTACCCGACTTAGAATAGGGTTCCTCTGAGGGTTACTGTGGGATTACTATAAGGGTGTTGGCATACAGCTCCTAATAATTAGAAAAGGGTTTAGGGGCATCTTGCCGTGTAATCATAACCAGAAGCCCCACAAACCCATCATTATCTAAGGCTAAAAACATCCATAAACCCCACCCTACACCATAACAAAACCTTGTCAAGGAAACCTTGTAGAACCCTTATACGGAGGCCTTCAAGGAAATCTTATAGCACACTTGAAGAACTCAAACAAAACCCGAAAAGGGTACCGAGCAACGACCCTTCTTAAGCCATACTATAAGGGATTTTTGTGCCCATTATACTATATTTATAATAAGGAACTCCCAAAATATTATAGATAATTATTGAGGCCCGTATGTTGATCCTAACCCTAAGAGCCCGAACTGGCCGTTCAGGAACCCCATAGCTCTCTCCCAAATGTTAGGATGACAAAAATTGAAGCAGCGACTGCTTAAATTTTATGGACGCCCTACTGCTGATGGACAAAATCCTGCATGACCCTAAGGACTCTAAACTATGGGAATTATGGTATATTCCCTATAATGGGTAATGCAGGACTTATTTCCCTAAACCCCAAAACCCTATAGATCCCTTAAAGGAGACCCTTAAAGGTACCCTTATAGCTCCCCTTAAAGGAACCCTAGGATTTTTGTCCATCAAGAGTATGCCCCAAAAAAGCCAACCCTTCAGGAACTGCGGCTTCAGCTTGTGGTTTGGAGCTTGAGGTTTACAGGGAACTCCAGAAAGCTGGAATATGGTTTCAGGGTAGGCTACCCTATAATTTACCATAGAAGGGTTAGGATAATCAAATTCCAACTTTCTGGCTTTTACCTTAGGGGTTTGGGATTCTGTGGTAGGGTTTATAGGTCTTGGGCTTCGGTGCTTGCGGTTTGGGTTTAGGGATTCTGTGGTAGGGTTTATAGGTCTTAGGCTTCGGGGCTTGCGGTTTGGGTTTAGGGATTCTGTGGTAGGGTTTATAGGTCTTGGGCTTCGGGGCTTGCGGTTTGGGTTTAGGGATTCTGTGGTAGGGTTCATGGGTCTTGGGCTTCGGGGCTTGCGGTTTGGGTTTAGGGATTCTGTGGTAGGGTTTATAGGTCTTGGGCTTCGGGGCTTGCGGTTTGGGTTTAGGGATTCTGTGGTAGGGTTTATAGGTCTTGGGCTTCGGGGCTTGCGGTTTGGGTTTAGGGATTCTGTGGTAGGGTTTATAGGTCTTGGGCTTCGGGGCTTGCGGTTTGGGTTTAGGGATTCTGTGGTAGGGTTTATGGGTCTTGGGCTTCGGGGCTTGCGGTTTGGGTTTAGGGATTCTGTGGTAGGGTTTATAGGTCTTGGGCTTCGGGGCTTGCGGTTTGGGTTTAGGGATTCTGTGGTAGGGTTTATAGGTCTTGGGCTTCGGGGCTTGCGGTTTGGGTTTAAGGATTCTGTGGTAGCGTTTATAGGTCTTGGGCTTCGGGGCTTGCGGTTTGGGTTTAGGGATTCTGTGGTAGGGTTTATGGGTCTTGGGCTTCGGGGCTTGCGGTTTGGGTTTAGGGATTCTGTGGTAGGGTTTATGGGTCTTGGGCTTCGGGGCTTGCGGTTTGGGTTTAGGGATTCTGTGGTAGGGTTTATGGGTCTTGGGCTTCGGGGCTTGCGGTTTGGGTTTCAGGGTTCTGGTTTTGGGTGCCAGCCATGCGGCTGCAGTGCGTGTGACGTCCGTTGAGAACGCTTCAGACACGACAGTGGGATAGTCCTCTGCTCTCTTCCGACAAAGATTCCAGTTTCAAAGTTTAGCACTTACACGTGCGGACTCACGGCCCATAGGTAGAGGCAGTAGTACTTAGAGTAGGGTTTTAGGCTCGTTTAGAGAATAATTATGGTGAGGAACCATAAGGATTAATTTTGAGATTATGTTGGCTTCTATGGTAACCTTGTTCCAACTTTTCATACACCCAGATTGAAGTTGAGGTAACGGGCTTCAGACAGAGGCAAAAAGGCGTAGGGGTTCATCCGTGCTCACATCTCCGTGATAGCATTCATGTATGTGCGAAGTCTTTGAAGATTCGGTTGGAGCCGCATCGAACCATGTTCATACCCTAAGCCCTAAACCGAAACCCTAAGCCGAATATTGAACAGAAAGCTCATGCAATTTTACGGTGGGGTCCGTGCTGTGACACCCATTGAGCAGCTTGTAACCTAGTATGGGGGCCTTAATTATAAGGATATCGGGTTTCGGGGCCCATTATACTATAACTATAACAAGGAACCCCCAAAACGGCAGTGGTAATTATTTACCCTAGGCATCTAAGGACTCATGTAGTAAGGCTTTTGGGCCCAAAGACCATATTATGTAAGGCTTTTGGGCTATTTTGATGCCCAGGGTTAGGCCCCTATAGTTTCTGCCTACCTGCGGACTGCGGGCCTGCCTGCAAACAAACAAACCCAGACCCCCGGGAGGATCTCGAAAGTAGATCCCCTAATCTATACTGAACTTAGAACCCTAGCAAAAATTCTAATCTTAGCTGTTTCTTAGGGATTATAATAACCATAAATATTCAAAACTATTTCTAAGTGCCCCTAAGTTAATTTGGGGCCCTATACTGCGAAGAATACTTTAGAGAAACCCCCATTAACGGATCTACTTTTTGGATCCTCCAGGGGGCCCGGGAAGAGACAAACAGATTTGGGTTTAGAGTTCAGGGTTCTTGGGTTTAGGTTTCAGGGTTTGCGTGGACCCACACTACCACTACTCTTTAATATACCCTAAATAGCCACTCTTAAGGGCCATCAGGGCTCCATTAAAAGGGTACTTGGGGCGTCCTGGTGGGGTCCCGGGTGTGGGTTTTGAAGTTGAGAGTTAAAGTAAAAGCCAGAAGGTTGGAAGATGATTATCCTAAGCCCTGTATGGCAAATCATAAGGTATCCTAGCCTGAAACCATATTCCAACTTTCTAGAGTTCCCTTTACAGGCTTTTCTGACGAAAGCAAGATTATAGGGTACCTATACTTATAACCCCAACTAAGGTACTTATAACCTTACTTACTAAATCCCATGATCCTCCAAGTAACGAAAGCAAGCCCGAAACCTGGAACCACAGCAGCTTGAATATCAAGGCCCTCTCTGCCCTAAACCCTCCTCTGGGGTCTGGGGGGCCTTAATAAGTAGAAGAGTGTTAGGGGGTATAGTATACTGTCTATTATGATAAGGAAGCCTAAACCCCAAACCCGAAACCCCAACGCCGAAGGCCTAGCCCGAAACCCTACTGCAGGGGCCTTAATAGTTAGAAGAGTGCTAGGGGGTAAATAGTATACTATTGTTATAATAAGGAACCCTGAGAAAATTTTATGGGGGAATTACCTAGGCCAATGTAGGCCCCTATGTTAAGCCCTAAACTACATGAAACCCGAAACCCCTAAAGTAAAAGCCAGAAAGTTGGAATATCATTATCCTAACCCCTTTAAGGTAAATTATAGGGGATCCTACCATTAATCCATATTCCAACTTTCTGGAGTTCCCTTTAAACCCAAAAGTCGGGCGAGATTCCCACAGCCCAGAACTCAGGAACTTGCCCTAGAGATCCCCGTAGTACTTTGAGGTCTGTTCCTGACTTAAAGCCCTAGGGGTCCCAAGTACCTAAGTAATCATATACTCTCTTGGGTTTAGGGTTTAGGGTTTAGGGTTTAGGGTTTAGGGTAACCTACATAACTACTAATTATCCTTAACCCAAATACCTGATTATTGGATCCTTTGGACCCTTGGGGGGGGAAGTTTTGGGGACTGCATGATGCGAGGCCAAAAGGGGGGCTTAAGATTCTTGGGGTAAGGCCCTATTATGGGAACCCTAATCCCTACTAAACCCCCATACGCTAAAACCATTGTTGGCCTCCTGTGACTGCAGGCAAGTCTCGTTCCAGAAGGATAGCCACGCGCTCATGCGCGGCGACTGCGCGGCAGTCAGATGCCCCGAAGACCCACCAAACACGAATTATGGGTTTAGGACCTTAGGATTTGGGGTTTAGGGTTTAGGACCTCAGGATGTAGGGTTTGGGGTTTGGGGCCTTTGTTTGGGAGCTAGGGTTTATGGTTGAATGGCTGTAGAATGTGGTTTAGAAGGGCTTCGCAGGGCTAGGGCAGAACATTCGGGGTAAGGGTCTGGAGCATCAGAACCGGGGTTTGGGGTGTTGGTTTTCGTGTCAGAGATCCATACTCTCAACGACAGATCTTGGAACCTTGCACAAGCTTTGAGGCTAAGCCCAGCCTGAACCCTGAAGTACCTACCTTTTTAAGGACATATATAAGGAAATCAAAATAGGGAACCCTAAAAATGGTAGGTTATTCAGGGTTCCCTACGAATTCCAAACCCTCAAACCCTACATTCCTTGGGTATTCCAATCCATAAACCCTAAACTCTACGTTCCTTGGGAATTTCAAGACGGTCTTGAGGGTGTAGCTTTTGCCAAAGCTGGCCTCTGGCGTCACGTCCTCACATTCTGGCTGTGCCGACCTGCTTCTTCGCTGCTTCGGGGTTTAATGCATTCGGAGTGTCGGCTTGGGGTTTAGGGTTTAGGGTTTGGGGTCTGGGTTGAGGTTCGGGCTTCGGGATTAATTTTTTTTGGAAGGATCTTGTGAAAGGTTGTTGGAAGTTTAGGGATTAGAAAATGGGATTTCTTCGTCTGGGGTCGCTGTAGGGTTCAGGGTTCAGGGCTTCATTCGGTGGTTTGGGGTAGGGCAAGCTGCACCCCAACAATCGAACTGTTCTTGCCAACTTATAAAGCCAGGATTTCCCGAAATCCTGCAGGAGAAATCCGTAGAAACTTCGAAATTCTGGCCCTTCAAACCCAAGGCAAAGCTGGTACTGCTGATGGACAAAATCGGTTTAGGGTTTAGGGATTGAAATTTAGGGTTTAAGGAAGATGCCATAGTTCTCATAGTTTAGAGTCCTTAGGGTCATGCAGGATTTTGTCCATCAGCAGTATTGAAACAACCCGTTTCCCGCCCACACGGACACGAAGCCGACAATACAGATGTCCCAGCCCATCCTAACCCCAAACCCCTAACCCCTAAACCCTGAACAAAGATTGCCCAGCTCTCTCTGGGATATTAGCACCCTAAACCCTAAACCCTAAACCCCTCTCCGGCCCCCAAAAAAGTCACCCTGTCGCAGACGTCGTCCCAAAAACTCCTAAGCCCGGCGTAGCCTGACAGAAGCTGAGGGTTTAGGGTTTAGGGTTTAGGGTTTTAGGTTTAGGATTTAGGGTTTAGGGCGTCTCGCCGCGCAGCGGCAGTATTTTTTATGTAGGATGGCGCCCCAACACTCCCAGGGGTGTGGGGGGCGGCATATCGACAGTCTAGCGTTCGAATGCGATTCCACCACCAAACAATTACACATTGGTTCCTCACCTTTTCCCACCCGCTGTGAGAATACACAGGCTACCACCCAAAACATTGCCTTTTAGGGTTTAGCGCTTATGCCCTCAATTCCCACCTGCCCCTGGTCTGTCTGTTGGGGCCAGGAAGGACGCACCTACACACACCACAAAACACAGGGCCTCAGGGCCAGGTGGGGTTAGGAGGCGGGCCAGGGGGCCAGGGAGGGTCGGCGGCGCCAGGCAGGGTCAGGAGTTAGGGAAGGGCAGAAAAGACGCCAGGTCTCCCCCTAGGACCCGCCAGCCCCCTGGGCCGGCCTCTGGGGCCTTTCTGAGGGGGAAACGTCCACCAAGGGATTTGGTCGTCGGGTTTAGGGTATTCCGATCTCTTGAGATTCGAGGGAATTCTCTCTGCGAATATGGGCGCCACACAAGGGGCCTAATGGCTTGGTTCAGCCCTAAAGGCTGAATTCGACCACTCTCCAATGGCTCCACCCATTGTCCATCCAGAGTTGGTGTCAATCACTGCCGGGTTTCCTTCTGGGTCCAGGCACCCTAAGAAAAAGGGTGGGTACGGCCTAAGCAGGCCTGGGTGGGAATTTAGGGTTTAGGGTTTAGGGCTTAGGGTTTAGGGTTTAGGGTCTTACAACCCCAACCCCCTAAGACCCTAAAACACTAAAACCCTCAACCCCAAAACACGGAACTCTGAACACATTAAACCCCAAAACCTTAAGACACTGAAACGGTAAACCCATGCACCCGACACCTCCTGCAGACAACAGCACCTGTATGGATAGTTCTCCAAATTAGGGTCCCTGCGTAAGTCCGCAAGATAGTACGACACATTCATAGAAAGGACCCTAAAAGGGACCCTACTTCAGAGAACTACCCACATCCCTACCGAGGCCAAATTCCAAGCCTTGCAAAACGGCATGAACTGCTGCAAAACCCAACGACATCCAGGTGGGTTTAAGCTAGGGGTTTTGGATTGAAGGCCCGCTTTGTCTTTAGGGTTAGGGGTTTTTGGTTTAGGGGTTCAGGGCTTAGGGTTTAGGGTTTGGGTTTAAGGTTCTAGTGCAGCTTTAAAAAACCCCTCACATCTTTTTGAGACCTGACAACCTACTTAAAGGATCATGGGACTTAGTAGCTAGGGTTATAATTAGGGTAACTATACTTATAACCCCAATTAAGGTACTTATAACCTTACTTACTAAGTCCTATGATCCTCCAAGTAGACCCTAAACCCTAAACCCCATAGATCCCTTTAAGGAACCCTATAGATCCCTTTAAGGAGCCCTTTAAGGGACCCTTCTAGGATTAACAACCTACGAAAACCGGCCTCAGGCATGAGGGAGCACAGCCCTGCGACCCAACTTTGTACCAGGGAGGCGAGTTCACATCGGTGCAGCCTCAGAAGTTTAGGGTTTAGGGCTTTTGGGGTTTAAGGTTTTTTGGGTTTGGGGTTTAGGGTTCATCTTAGTTGCTGAGGTCATAAGCCCCCAAAAAGTGTACACTTTCAGATTTACAGTGGGTCGTACTACTGTATCCCCAAAAGTGTAAAGTGCATCCACTCAGCTACTAAGTTCGTGCGTTTAGGGTTTTAGGGGATCCCGGGGGCTTGGGAGAAAGCGCGGTGCGGTTTCGTAGCCGGTTGCAGAGGCTCAGGAGGCTCAATGACGCAGGGGCCTTAACAATTAGAGTAGGGTTCTTAAAAAGGGTCCCTTGAAGGATTCTATAAGGGTTTCTGTAATAATTAGAGTTCTACTATGTAGCGGCCTTGATAATTCATTCAGGGGCCTTAACAGTTAGAGTAGGGTTCTCAAAAAGGGTCCGCTGAAGGGTTCTAGGTTCTACTATGTAGGGGCCTTAATAATCAGAGTGGGGTGTTGGGGTATATTCTTGTCATAAGGAACCCAACAAACTTGTGGGTTTGGGGTCCACTTCGAGGATGCGGGGACTTACTTCGCAATCTTCATCGTCGTTGCCGTAGTATTCGAAGCAATAGGCGTGGCAGGAGGAGGACCAGTAGCAGAAACGGTAACACTAGTGGTGGTAGCAATACCAGATTTAGTTTGCTACCAGACAGATCCGTCATCGTCTTTATCGTTCTGTGGTCGGTCGTGGTCGTCGTGGCGGTCGTCAGCATCGTCGTCGCAGTGTCGCCGTTGTCGCCGTCGTCATCATAGTCGGCCTCGTCGTCGTGATCGTCCTTGTCGTCGTGGCAGACGCTGTGGCTGCAGCTTAGCTCTGGGTGCTTTGATGACGGGTGCTTCTCGTCTTACTTAAGCCCGAAAACAAAACCGAAACCCGTACACCCCAGATCCTAAACCCCCGAAGCATGAATCCAGAATCCTATACCCTAAACCCAAAACGAAAAACCTCCAACCCTAAACCCCTAAAAACCCTAAACCGAAAAACCTAGACCCAAAACCCTTTATAAACCCCTAAAACCCTCAACCCCTAAACCACAAAAACAGAACCCCGACACAGCAACACTTGGAGCCCGAGGGACCGCAGGTTTGCCCACATGCAAACCTCACCAAGCGTGCGTCGCTCCTGATCGGATGATGGTTGGAGGGTCTGGACCTAGCAAGTAGTTATTTTTCGTTAGAAGTATCATAGCATTACGGAATGTACCTTAATTCATGTTGGGCATCCTACTATACTTTAAGGTACACCCCTTAAATCAGGGATTATGGAAGGTCTGGGCGGTTCAAGGCTCCTTGAACAAAAACGGAACCATGTATTCAGGACTGTTGACCCAGTTTTTGCAGGTTCTATCTGGGCTTTGGGAGTCTTCATTTCGGGTTTGAGGGGGTTTGAGATCAGGTGAAGGGTCTCAAAATTCTAGCCAGAAGAGGGTTTCAAGAAGTTAATGTAGCGGTCTTAATAATTAAAATAGGGTTCTGGGCCCATTATACTACAATTATACTAAGGAACCCCAGACCAGTATTGATAATTATTTTTGGCCCCTATAGTAATTACTCCTGAAGGGAACCACAACTTAGACATCTGGCCAAAGGGTAGGGTATATCATGTATGCTATACTCTTACAGCAATTATGAGGAGATATCCGCAAGTTCAATTTCCACAAACTTCAGCCACTTTCAGCAAGCAATGTCCCCTCTCGGGTTGATCGGGGTCTCCGTTTGAGAAGGGGTTTTCGGGCCAGAAACCCCCTTACAATGAAGCCCAAGAAGGAGGGGACGTCCCTATAAAATGCTTATGCTTATGTGCTTTTGGGTCCCTGAGGTTCCCTAAACCCACCCCTAAACCCTAAACCCCTAAACCCTAAACCGTTTAGGGTTCAAGGTAAGGCAGCCTCCCCGGATCTTGAGCCTCAGTTGCTACTCGCCGACCGACCCATCCAAAACCCTGAAGCCCAGGGGACTTAGGAGACTTAGTAAGGGTTCCTTAAATGGGCTCGTTAAAGGGCTCTATAGGGCTCCTTAAAGGGATCTATGGGGTTTAGGGTTTTAGGGTCTACTTGGAGCCCCAGGGGACTTAGTAAGTCGGTTATAAGTAGGGTTATACTTGGGGTAACTCCATTTAGGGGACTTATAACTCTACTTATAACCTACTTCCTATGTAAGTCTCCTGCCCCTCCAAGTAAAGAGATCTCTAAGCCCTACAGTAGAAGCCAGAAAGTTGGAACATGATTTGCCTCAGGCCCTTAAAGTAAAGTATATATAGGGAATGCCAGCATGAATCATCCCAAATCTATGTTCCAACTTTCTGGGTCTCACTATAAACCTCAATCAGGCTGACGGTCTCTTTATCTATTCTTAACACTGCCTAATATAGCCCTAACAAGGATCCCTATATGCAGCCCCTTAACAGAGAAACCCCAAGAGACCACTGACCTGTATAGCACAAACCGTAAAGCTCTACACCCCTGAAGCAACAAAACCCTAAAACCCCCCAACCCTGAAAATGATCCCTTACAGAACCCTTGTGGATCCCTTTGAAGGAACCCTTCTACATCCCTTTACAGGAACCAGGAGGAGGTGAAACTCGGGATCTCTTGCTGGTCTTCTTTCTTGGGGTTAAGATTTTCCGGAGGACCTTAGGGTTTACCCAGAGACTCCAATATCCCTTAATTAAGGAATATTCCTTAAACCATATTAAGGATCCTATTATAATTTAGGGTATATTCCTTAATTAAGGGGTATTGGAGTCTTTGGGTACAGTAGAAGCCCAAAGGTTGGCAACACCATTGCCTCAATCCCTAAGAGTACTCTATAGGGAACCACAGCACTGCTTGTCCTTAATACGGTTTACTGTAAGGAGGATACCTTAATTCATATTAGGGTCCTGCCTTACATAAAGGGATCTACAAGAAACCCCTAAACCCCTAAACCCCCAAAGCCCTAAACCCCTAAACCCTTTAGGGTTCAGGGTTTAGGGCCTCGGGTGTTAGGGCTTCGGCCGGGGCAGGCCTTCTGCAGTACTTCTGCAGCATCGAACAATCCGACACCTGAGCTTCGGGGTTCGGGCGTTGGGGAGCTTAGGGTTTAGGGCTTAAGGTTTAGGGTTCGTAGGGTCTAAGGTTTAAGGTTTAGGGCTTAGGGTTTAAGGTTCACAGTTTAGGGTTCAGGGTTGGCCTACCTTCTTTTATTCGTGGGCTCCTTTTCTCACCGCTGTTACGAGTGCGAAACCCCTAGATTAGGAGCTTGCAGAGTACGGTTCGGAGCTTTTTCAATCTTTCCAAAGTCACTGCAGGGTTGATTGATTGAAAGTACCGAGGGCTCTTGGAGGGTCTATTCTAGGGTCTGCACGGGCCTGCAGTTACTGTAGGCTCATTTTCTTTCTGGGAGTCCATGAAATTGCCATAAGGCCTAGTCCTTAAGATTCTGAGTTGTTGTAGGGTTTAGTCTGTCAGCTTCTGGAGTTACTGTAAGGTGTGCTCCTTGGGTTTCGGTAGTTGTAGTAACGCGCATTCTGTAAGATTCTGGAGAGAAGTTACGCCACACACTAGACCCTACACCGTAAACCCTAAACCCAGAAACTTCTCACGAACCCGAAAGCCGAACCCTCCAGCTCCTAACCCCTAAACCCTCCTCTTCGCCTAAACCCTAAACTCTAAAACTTTAAAGCCCTTCTATAGTCCCTGAACCCCCCAACCCTAAAACCCTAACCCTAAAAACCCTAACCCTTGAATCCTAAAACCCTTCTTCAAGGGGTCTTCAAGCCCGGGCCACCTCGAGCTCCCCAAAAGGAAGGCCCGCAGACCTGATAATGAGATCCCCCACAGGCCTCAGGGGAGGCATCGGGCTAAATTTCTGGGGTGTGGGGGTTTAGGATGCATCGTAGAAGCCAGAAAGTTGGAACATGGCTTTAGGAGGATTAGTGCTAGGATCCCTTATAGTCTCCCTTAAGACCATGAGGACAAAGATGTTCCAACTTTCTGGCTTTTCCTACAGGGTTTTGGGTCTAAAGGCCTAGGGTTTAGGATTTAGGGTGGCGGATTTCGGGTTCACTTAAAGGATCATGGGACTTAGTAACTAGGGTCATAATTAGGGTAACTATACTAATAACTACTTATAACCCCAATTAAGGTACTTATAACCTTACTTACTAAGTCCCATGACCCTCCAAGTAGGGTGTGGGGCTGAAGATTTGGGATGTTCTTTAAGTTAGGGTCCTTTTCGGTCCCTTTGTTTGTGGTTGTGTTGGGCTTGTTGAGGGGTTTGTGGGTTTAGGAGCTTAGGGTTTAGGGCTGCCCGTGCAGGGCTTAGGATTTAGGGTGTTCTTTGGTTTAGGGTTTGGGGCTTTAGGGTTTAGGGCTCAGACTATGGAGCCTCTGTAAGAAAGCTTGAGTTTGGGGGCTTTACGGTTTAGGGTTTAGGGTTTGGGGGCTCTAGGGTTTAGGGTTTAGAGTTTGGGGGCTTTAGGGCTTAGGGTTTAGAGTTTGGGGGCTTGGAGGTTTAGGTGTGAGAAGAGTGTAGAAGGTTCGTAGGGCTCCCTACGTTTAGTTGGGGGTTGCACTGCCCAGCTGGGGAAAGTGAGGCAAGCATACTCCAAGCGATTTTTCGAGCTCCAAAAGCTTAAATGTCAGGCCAAATCCAGAAACCCCGTAGAAAGACCCTTACACTATGTAGTCTTACAGAGCCCTTCGAGGACCAAGGAACCCTGGACATAACCCTTGCACAACTTTTCTAGAGCCCTTCACGGAACCTTTCACACAACCCTTACCCCGAAGTCCTGCCCCACAACCCTGAAGCAATGAGCCACCAAAATGATGGCCGAAAATCCGAAACCTCTGTTTAGTGTATGAGGGTTGGGTTTAGGATGTATGGTTTGGGAGTTTATATAGGGTTTAGGGCTTCGGGGTTTGGGGGTTTCCGGGTCTGGGGTTCAGAGGTTTGAACATTTTTTTGCATCTGACGCCTGATGGCGGGATCTTCGAAGAAGGCTCCGCCAGGAACGTAGATGGCAGTTTCAATACCTCAGAGGGGTCTGACAGAGGGGTCTCATAATAAGTAGAACTCGTGTCTGGAGTATATACTACACAATATCCTCATGCTAAGGAACCGAGAAGAAGGCCTTGTGCCAAAATCTAGCTCCAATACTTGGAACCCTAAACTCCTTAACCCTAAATCTTAAACCCGAGTTCCTAAACCTTAAACTCCTAAACCCGAAACCCTAAACTCCTAGCCACTCAGGCTGCCAGAATACTTGAAGGATCATGGGACTTAGTAACTAGGGTTATAATAAGGGTGACTATACTTATACCTAACTACTTACAACCCCAATTAAGGTACTTATAACCTTACCTACCAAGTCCCATGATCCCCATTCTAGAACCCCTATAGATCCCTGTAAGGAGCCGGATTATAGAACCCTATACTACCCTTACTAACAGGAACACCAAACCTTACTTACTAGTTCCCATGATCCTCCAAGTAGACCCTAAACCCTAAGCCCCATAGATCCCTTTAAGGAACCCTATAGATCCCTTTAAGGAGACCTTTAAGGGCCATGATCCTCCAAGTACGAAAGTATCAGTTGGGACTGCCGGGCTCAGGGCTACGGAAAAACGTCAAAGATCTCCCGAAAGCCCGCAAAAACCCCAACACCTTATCTTCCCAAACCCCCTAAACCCCCTAAAGCCCTAAATCCTAAACCCTTAGTCCCTAAATCCTAAACCCTAAATCCTAAAACTAAAGCCCTATACCCTAAACCCAAGGCCCTGAACCCCCAAACCCTCAGAACCCCCCTATCTTTTCTCTACTTGGAGGATCATGGGACTTGGTAAGTAAGGTTATAAGTACCTTAATTGGGGTTTTACGTAGCTAAAAGTATAGTTACCCTAATTATAACCCTGGTTACTAAGTCCCATGATCCTTTAAGTAGACCCTAAGCCCTAAACCCCATAGATCCCGTTTAAGGAACCCTGTAGATCCCTTTAATATTAAAGGGACCCTTAAAGGTATCGAAGGCCCCAGGGGCAGATCGATGCGCTGGTAGCCCAGGTCGCCATGTTCTGGGTCCTCTCGTCTTCGAACCTCGGAGGTTTGGGTTCGTTTTACGGATCTATCAAGGGTTTCGTTAGGGTTCCTTCAACTTACACCCTAAACCCTAAACCCTAAACCTAAACCCTAAACCCTTAACTTGCCTTTGGTTAGTAGGGAATGGAAGAAAGGTAGCTATAGTAGTTCTACTTGTACCCCATTCCTCCATTCCCTACTAACCCAAAGTAAGTTATAGGATTATTAAGGCCCCTATATTATAGTATCCTTATAGATCCCTTTTTCTAACCCTTATAGACCCCTTTATAGGTAAGTAAGGGCTTCCTTGAAGGGAGCTACAGGGGTTTCATGGGGGTTCCTTAAATCAGGGCTAGGGGTCGATCAGGGATCTTCAGGGGTCTTAGAGTTCCCCGGGAGGATCCTTTAAAGGGATCTAAGGGTTTAGGGGTTTAGGGTTTAGGGTTTGGGGTCCTTCATAAGGGGTTTTAGGAGTGTAGGGTTTAGGGTCTAGGGGTTTCGGATTTAGGGGTGTTGGTTTAGCACAGAGGTTTAGGATATAGGGCAGCTTCTTGTGTGGAGCTTGGAGTTGCTTGTAGATTTTGTGTTGATTTGAGAGGCCTCGTTTCTGTAAGTCAGGGTTTAGGGCTTGGGCTGTTACAGCGGCATGGTGTGTTTAATATGTTGTGTTGATAAGGATCTACAAGAATAAGGGTTTCATAGATAATAACTTGAACAGCTATGAGGCTTTAAGCGGATCCGAAAAGGTTTTGGAAGGCTTTGTATACGAAAGTTGGAATATCATTGTCGTAACCCCTTTAAGGTAAATTATAGGGGATCCTACCATTAATCCATATTCCAAGTTTCTGGAGTTCCCTTTACGGGCTTTGTAGTTTGAAAGGGTTTGTGGCAGCATAGGTTTCATGTAAGTCTGAACCCAAAGGCCTCGAACCCGGGACTTAAGGCCGTGCTTGACTGGAAATAGGGGACCCTTAGGGTTCCTTTAAAGGGTACCATAAGGGTTCCTGAAAGGGATCTATAAGGGTTATGAGGTAACCAGGTGGAAAAGAAGCAAAGGCTTTTATTTCATAGTTGGCTCCCTTTAAGTACCAAGTCCAAAACAAGTATTAGAGTATGGTACTCCAAAGCCCAGTTGAAGGCTCGGGGGACTCAGTAACCAGGCTAGCAAGACGGATGCATGTTACATAAAACATTCCTTACTTAATCCCTTGATCCTCCAAGTAAGGCCCTCCACCTGACAACCCTAAAACCTGAAACCCTGCACCACGCTTGCGGTCGTCATTCAAGACGCTGATCGAAATTCGCCAAGTTTTGGAAGGAGATGTACCTGGATTGTTCTTGGAAGCCCTAAAGCCCTAAACCGTCAACATGACACCTTTTCTCCTTCTTAAAACTACCCTAAACTACCAAACCCCTACTTTTTTGTAGGCTCTTACTATAAGCCCTAACATGGAATTTATAGGGGCCCTACAAAAAAGCAGGTCTTGGTAGTGTTCTCAAGAACAGCCAAGGCACATAGGATCGAGGCTCGGGTCTCGAAATGCATGCGCATTCACAGCGATCTCGCTGATGGACAAGTTCTCCTGATTTCCTCCTTTCAAAAGGCTCCCAAGGTGGGATGAAAGCAGGTGGGGTATTCCCAATTAAGAGTCCTTATATAAAGGATCCTTCATCCTACCCACCTTCATCCCACCTTCTGAAGCCTCTGATCCTTTCTGGCAGGGTTCAGAAAACTAGGGTTTCCGTATGTCAGGTTGCCTCCGAAACGGATCCCTCTATATAGGAGCCTTAACATTTAGAATAGGGTTTTGGGGCCCGCTATGATAGAATTATAAGAAGGAACCCCCACAACAGTATTGGTAATTATTGAGGCCCCTACAGTAGTGGTCCCCCACAGGGGCCAAGGATTCAAGCTCACCCCAAATCCTGCAGCAAAAAAGCCTGAGCCCTCAACACTACACCGCCCACTCTAACACTCCCACATCCTTGAGCCCAAAGCCCTAAACCCGTCCAATTTCCCGAGAATCCCCCCTACCCCCCCCCCCCCCCCAAACCCTCTCACAAAATCCCGAGCTTACGAAAATCTGGTGACGGGCTCAATTGGAGTTTGGAGTCTGGAGTTTAGAGACCAACCGATGTTTGCTTCTTGGTGGAGGCCTTGGAAGCCCCGTAAGGCCTAAGCCCTAAGCCCTAATTAAGCCGTAGACGTAAACCCTAAACGCAAAGACCGCACACCCCTAAGGCCTAAACTCTATTCCTGCCTCGGCTTGTGCGCGTGACGAGCCCATTCGTCATCTGTGTATCCTTGGGTTTGGGATTTAGGGTTTAGGGTTTAACTAAGGCTTAGGATGGCAGGGGTTGCGGACCTCGCCTGCCAGGACAGAGAGACGGCAAATCCCAACAAAGCGCTCAACAGTTGTTCCTGGAGTTGAGGTAGTAAGCAGCATGGTGCCCAGAGCCCCCAAAAATGACCTTAATCAAGGAATATCCCGTAAAGTATAGTAGGATCCATAATATGATTTGAGGTATATTCCTTAAATGAAGGGTTTTGGAGGCTCATGGTATACTGTAACCCAACACCTGCCCCAGGCAAAAACCTAAGGGTTTAGGCTTTAATATTATTAGTACCGCCGGCCCTGGGCCTATAAACCCTAGAATCTCCCTAAACCCGAAGCCCTAAAACCACCATGCTTGCCCCAAGCCCTAAAGACTCCCCACTAAATCCTACACCGCAAACCCCGAAATTCCCTGGACCACTAAACCCTACACCCTAAACCGTAAACCCCAAACCATGAGCCCTAACAGAAGAGTGCTAGTGAGGAGCTGCGTTGTGAAAGATCACAAAGGTTTGGTTTCCACCGCAGAGCAGCTCTTTCACCTCGACCATCGTCTCGCCGAAGGGCTTCCTGGGCGTTTTGGGCTTAAGGCTTAGGGTTTCAGGGTTTCTAAGGTTTAGGGTTTAGGATTTAAGCTTAGGAGTTTAAGGGTTTAGGGTTTAGGATTTGGGGCTTCAGACTTAGGGTTGAGGGCTTCTAGGATCAAAAAGGGCTCCTTAATAGGGATCTATAAGGGATCACGTTCAATTTTAGGGTTTTAGGATTTAAAGTTTAGGGCTGAGGGTGTAGGGTTTTGGGCTTAGGGTTTTGAGGTTTGAGTTTAAGGTTAGGGCTTAGGCCTAGGAGCTTCGAGTTTTTGGACGTCCTTTAGACAAGCCGCAAGCCTAAACCGTTAACCTCTACACCCTGAACCCGAAGTTGCTCCTAGGAGTAGACTATGCTAAGACTATGCATTAGGTTCGGCCACCATACAGTGAGAGTCTATAAAAGGGCTACTACTAAGATCCTACTATATCTATATGATGAATCTTATTCAACTATTACTGAGCGGCGGCCGTACCCAAACTATGCAACAGTAATGATGGGAGGCCAAAAGGGGGTTTAAGATTCTTGGGATCGGGGTTCCTTAATATGAACCCTGTAATGGGGACCCTAATCCCTACTAAACCCCCATAGGCTAAAACCCCTTTTGGCCTCCTATGAAGTAAGTCTCTATAGACCGGCCCAGTGGCACCAGAAGCATGTACGGCACGATGATGGTCAAGATCAGGGTGAGGCACTGGATACCTCTCTTCTTCAACAACCGGGCCCCCCAAAAACACATCTACTAAGGTAGAATATATATATATATATGGTAAGATGGGATGGGGTAGGATAGGATAGGTAGGATTGGATGGGGGTAGGATAGGATAGGATAGGATAGGATAGTTAGGATGGGATTGGGCAGACATGGTGTGGTGTGATGTGATATGGTATAATATGACATGACATGATATGGCATGGTTCGATATGATGTGAAGCGATGTGGTTTGATATAATATGACATGACATGATACGAGATAACATGATATGATAGGATGAGACATGAGGTGATATAAAACGAAATGCAAAAAGTAATGTTTTATCTTTTGCATATGAATATAACTAAGGTATAAGAAGTCTGGTATATGATGTATGTGTATACATGCAGTAATGCACATATACATATATATATATATATATATATACTCACACTCGAATATCCATATACACACATACATACATACATACATACATACATACATACATACATACATACATACATACATAACGAAACAAAACATAACATAACTAACATACATACATACACATACATACATACATGCACGCATACATACATACATATATGACAATGTAAATGTGTAAGGATAGGACATGGATATGTACATGTACATGTATATGTATGCGTATATGCAGATGTATGCGTATGCATACATACGTACATATATATATATATGTCTATATATATGTATGTATATAGATATACAGATGCCCAGAAAATTTGAGGTTATCCCATTGGCCATCTGAGATACAGGACTCCCACTCACTGCGGCGACGGCTGTACTTGATGGTCATGGGCGTCAGGCTCTGGATCGCCTCGGAAGACTTAACCTATTTGTTGGATCAATGGGTTTCAGGATGCTAAGATTAAGGCCCTTGAAAACTGGGGATGTAATTAGACGCAGATCTCGTAGCAAGCGCAAAAGCCCCGAAATAAATCCTTAGAATAGCCTTTATAGAGCCGTAATAGAACCCTTATGAAAAGCTTATCTTATAATCCCCCATAGAGGCCATGTAGAACCTCTATAGGAGCAACCAGGATGCATCCTACATTAAATCCTTCTAATAGCCCGTATAGTAGCCCTTGTAGACCCCTTTAAAGGAAGCCAGGACGCATGCTGAAACTTCATGGGCGTAAGGCCGTTGAACAAAAACTCGTCCACGTCGAGGATGGCGTTGAGCGCCACTGCGTTCAGCATTAGCTCGGAGATCCTGGGCTTGATGCTTATGTACAGACTGAAACCAGTATGTATGTGTATATCTGTATATATATATATATGTACGTATATGTATATATACGTATGTATGCATCTTCCTACCCAACTGTCTATCTACCTATCTCTGTGCCTGTCGAAATGCCTATGCATGCATATGTACATGCAGGTATATGTGCATGTATGTACATGTCTGCATATGCATGTAGACTATGTATGTATGAATGTATAAGCATGTATGTGCATGCGTGTGTGTGTGTGTGTGCGTATCTGTACGTGTATGTATGTGTGCGTGTATACATGCATGCATGTGTGTGTGTGTGTAAGTATGTACCCTCTGCAGGTAGACCCGGAAAGCCGCTGAAGCCTATTTTCGGGCGTGTAATGTAGGGGCCTTAATACACACGAATATGGCTCATGCAAGGCCTCCTTGTAAGGGTACTTTGAAGCCTTTAGAGCTACGACGAGGGTTTCTATAAGGGTTTTTACTGTGAGGCCTTCAACCACCAGAACAGCACTTGGAGGCATGTTCTACTATAACTATGATTAAACGGACTATGACAGGATTCTATTGCCGCCAATTGTCCAACCCCTATAAAGAACCGAGGGCAGGTTTCATGGTCTGAAGCTGAAGGCTTGAGGGTTCGGGGTTTTCTTTAGGTGCGGAAGCTCTGAAGCCTAATATTCCAACATCCAGAAACATCTAGTGAGTTATTAGGAGCTGGGATGTAATGTACACTGTCGGGATTCGATGTGGTCCGAGCCAGCCACAGTATGCCAGCGACTAAAAGAACGCTCGCCACTGCGACGCGCGCGAAGTTGGTTGCCAGGAAGACGACGAATCGACCCCAGGAAATTTGCTCAAATGTTCCTTTCAGGGGGCTTACGGTTTAGGGATGAGGGTATAGGGTGCAGGAATTTAAGGGTATAGGGTTTACGACTTTGATGCGTTCCCTGAGCAGCGCGGAGACGAAGATGGCCACATGTCCAAACCTTCGGAACTCTCAGAGCCTCAAGCATAACCCCCGGCTAGAGCCACCGAGCTGTAGACTCTAAACCCCAAACACTAAATCCCAAACGCTTAGCCCCAAACCCCGAACTCTACATCCCAAACACATAGCCCTAAACCCCAAACTCTACATCCCAAACCCATTGCCTGTAGCCTTAAAGCCCAAACTCTACATCCCAAACCCTCAACCCTAGACCCAAAACTCTAAAACCTCAACCCAAAACCCTGAACGGTTTCTTGGGAGTTGGGGCTCTCGACAAGAACCCTGCAATCGAACCCTTGCTATTCTTAACCCTTTGGCCCTGCGATTATGGCAGCTCTGACATCCTAACCGAATCCTGAACCCTATCTGTGGCCGAAAAGACCTCCTTTTTCCAGGAACTATGCATTATAGAAACCATAACAAGGAATCCTCCTCTTCGGCTACAATTATACCCCAAACCGACAAAACCCGAAGCCTGAACCCAAGAACCCGGACCCCGATCCCCACGGCCAGAAAGAACCCGTAACTTAGTTGCTGAGTTAGTAGGTTTTCGAGACGACTGCCTTGATGGTCTGTATTTAGGTTTTAGGGTTTAGGATCTAAGGTTTAGGGTTTAGGCGTTTAGGGTTTAGGGGTTTAGATTTTTAGGGTTAGGACCTATCTTAGTTGCTGAATTCATCAGCCCCAAAAAGTGCACACTTTCAGTTTTATAGTGGGACAAGCTTATCCCAAAAAGTGTACAGTGTAAAGTGTATCCACTCAGCTACTAAGCTTAACAACTTCAAAACACTTCTGCAGGGGCCCTCTACGGACACGTAGAGTTCCTCCACCCTAGACCCGAAAGCCCCCCTAAACCCACCTGAGCCCCCTAAACCCCCCTAAACTCCCCCTAAACCCACCTAAACCCCCTACTAAACTCCCCCCTAACCCCTTTTTGAACTGATGGCCTTCGGTAAAGACGGTGTGTCTCGATTTCGGGAGGTTCACGGCGCCGGCCATCGCGAGCCAAATGTGCCGGAACTCCTGGCGACAGTTTCCGTTGCTGTTGGGGGTGGCCCAGGCTCCTCCCATGACCCCCGGGAGGGTCTAGCAAGGAGGGTTTAGGGGTTCAGGGGTTTAGGGCTTTAGGGTTTAGGGGTTTAGGGTCCAGGGGTTTAGGGTTTAGGGTTCAGGGGTTTTGGGTTTAGGGGTTTTGGGTTTAGGGTTTAGGATCTAGGAAGTAGATCCCCTAACTTGAGACCCTATACTACTAAGGGTACTTTATAGGAACCTCCATTAAGGGATCTACCTTTTTGGATCCTCCCGAGGGCCAGGCTCTTTGGGCTTTGGTTATGTTAGGGTGTAGGGTTTAGGGATTTATAGGGTTTTAAGGGGCTTGGAGTTTAAGGTTAGGGCGTAGGGTCTATAGTTGAAAGGCTCTGGGCTTAGGGTTTCGAGGCTGGCAGCTCAGGTTTCCAATTCTACTTTTTGAAGGGACTGCCTTGAAAGCTAGAGCAGGACTTCGGGACGTGTTCGAGGGTGCATAAGTTGCTGCAAGGTAAACCCCCCTCGGGCTCTCAGCTACAGCCGCTGCCCAGGAAACCCTCAATCCTAAGCAAGCGACGGGCTCAAAGTCACTGCGTAGGTTGAAGTTGGTCCTAGGGTTTAGGGGCTCAGGTAGCATCTGTTCTTTGGCTACTCTCAGTACAACACCTTTCTTGCCATATCCAAGAATTGATGTCACTGACAGCACAAACAGCGCCACCACTGGTATCAAGCTATCCGTTTTGCTGAGCATTTCTGCTGTTCTGCTTAATCAGAGCCAAGAAAGAATCCAGCACCAATACGACTGCTAGAACGACGGCTGCCACTGCGGCTGGTATTGCGGTTCCTGCCCCTCCTATCACTATTGCCACGATGACCAGCAACACGACCACCAACTCTACTAACCCTAAACCTTGAACCCCATAAGAACAGTGACAGTATTGAGACGTCAGACTTGGCTGCTATTGGCCTTGTTCGTGCCCCTTCAATGCCCCTGGCCCCCTAAACCCCAAACCCCTTAACCCCAAGCCCTACGAATCCGACTATTTCAGGTCGGAGCACCTTGAAGACGCAGAGGCTCCAGAGAAGGATGCAGAGCATGCAGAGAAGCGTGCCCGGTCCGAACTGATCTTGCTCAAACTGATCCTTAGATCCTTAGGGTTTAGGGTTTAGGGCTTCATGAGGGTTTAGGGTTTCGGGTTTAGGGCGTGGGGTTTAAGGGTTTAGAGCAGTCCAAGCGCACAATTTCATCCTAGATCCGGAGCCCAGAAGCCTTCACAAGAATCTCCTCCACAGTTCACAACAAGTCTGCTATATATCCGGAGCTCCATGTAGGTGGGGGCGGGCTTTCCTAGCCCGTGAACCCAAAATCCCACTGAAAAACGGCTTCCTAAGCTTTACTCATGAACCCTGACACAACCTCCAGAAAGCCTACGTATAACTGCAAAATCTCTGAAACCCATGTAGAGCCTACTCCCTATACAAGCGTTGCAGAACCATTGAAAGCCGTAGAAGAAAAGGTATCGTACGGGAGCCAGGTGTCGATTCCCAGTCTCAGGTAGTTGTTGATCTGCTCAATCAGCGTGGCCTCTAAGCCAGCGGCCCCAACAAGTTTCAGGGTTTAGGTTTAGGGGTTTAAGGGTTTAGAGGTTGAGGGTTTAGGGGTTTAGGGGCTTAGGGGTTTTGGGGTGTTGAAGGGCATATTCTAGTATTCTTTGACTTGCTAGAAGGAACCTTTGGAACCCCAAAGCATAGCATAGCTAGTTATGGCGGCTTCTATATTCCTAAAACCTAAACCCTGAACTCCTGAACCTTATTCTATATTCCTAAAACCTAGACCCTAAACTCCTGAACCTTAAACTGAACGATTCTTGAAGGGCCGGTAGGGTCTCAGGCCTCAGGGCTTCAAGTTCCCGGATTGCGGAAGGAAATCAAATTGGGTTCGGGGTTTAGGGTTTAGGGTTTTAGAGGTCTTGGGTCCTGGATTTAGGGGTTTACCGTTCAGGGCTTCAGGGTTTAGGGTTTAGGGCTTCCGGATGTAAGTAAGGCTTTGGGCTTGTCGGCGCGGGAGTCTGAGTCTAGGGTTTCAGACATCTGGCGACAAGCAGCCTGGATCGTTGACAAGATGAGGGCACCATCGCCACTGCAGACCCGCGTCACGAGGCTGGTTTCTGCCAGATCCATGTACCTAATCGCTCAGAAGCGGTTTAGGGTTGAGGGTTTAGGGGAGCCTGAACCTAACCCCTAGCCCCAATACACCGGCAGAGACCCTAGCAGTCGGTCTGGATCCATGTTTAGGGTTTAGGGTTTGAAACCTCAAAGACTGTGTGGTTCTTAGTAGGGAATGGGTTATTGGGACTACTGCAGGGGACCTGAAGGGAGTATCATAGGGATCCATTCCCCCATTCCCCACCAAGAACTTGAACCAGACAGAAGAGTTAAGGTTTCGGGTTCAGGGATTAGGGTTTTGTGCTTCGGGCTCAGGGTTCAAGGTTCAGGGCTTAAGGGCTTCAACCCTAAACCCTGACCTCAACCCCCAAACAGGGTTTACAGAGGTGCCTCATTCCTGGAGACTCCAATACCCCTAAATTGAGGAATATACCTTAAATTATAGTAGGATCTTTAATATGATTTAAGGAATATTCCCTAAGGGATATTGGAGTCTCTGGGTCTAATAACCTGCCAATCCACAACCTCGACCTTCCCTCCGCCAAGGCGCTTGTAGTCGTGTGCCACGCTCGTACGCCAAATCTGGGCATTGTGCTTCTGCGTCTCGAAATCCTGCTGCTTGGTTTTAGGCGGTTTAGGGTTCAGGGTTGTGGGGTTTAGGGTCTAGGGCTTGGGACGAAACACTGAAACCCTTCGTCTTAAACCCTTCAGCGTAGAACACTAAACCTTGAACCGTAAATTCCAGAGCTGCAATCCACAAAATTCTAATGGTTCAACCATACATCATAAAACCTTACTTAAGATCCCAGACACTAGAACCTTCCCTAAAAACTCTAAACCCTGAAAAACGAAAACCCTACCCCAGGCCCTAAACCCTAACCCCTAAAGTCTTTAAGTAGGTGATAAGTAGGGATAAAAGTACCCTAAAAGGAGTTACCCCAAGGACTTACTAAGTCCCCTCCGCCCCTCCAAGTAGACCCTAAACCCTAAACCACATAGATCTCTTTAAGGCATCCTATAGATCCCTTTAAGGAGCCCTTTAAGAGCCCTTCCCAGAGACTCCAATACCCCTTAAATAAGGAATATACCTGAAATTATAGTAGGATCCTTAATATGATTTAAGGAATATTCCTTAATTAAGGGATATTGGAGTCTCTGGGTTACTAAGTCCCCTAGACCCTAAACCTTTCAGCTCAGGTAAGGATCTCTCCAGTCGGTTCGGGGAGCGGTGAAACTGTGAAGGTTCAGGGTTTGGGGTTTCTTAGGGTTTAGGGTTTAGGGACGTCGGGTTTGGGGTTTCAGCTTTTTTTTCTAAGCACCTTTTTCCGTCAGCACGGTTTCGGAAGGTCTTAAGATCAGGTGTCGGTTGCACCCTGTGTCTCAAAAGCCCTCCGGGGTTTCAGCTTTGGGAGTAAGGGTTTGGGCTTGGGCTTTCGGGCTTAAGGTGTTGGGGTTTAGGGCAGCTCACTTGGAGGGGCAGGGGACTGAGTAAGTCGTTGATAAGTAGGGTTATAATTGGGGTAACTCCGTTTAGGGTACTTATATCTCTCTACATATAACCTACTTACTAAGTCCCCTGCCCTTCCAAGCAGGGCATGGGATGCACAGCTTGAGGTCCAAGACAAAGAACTCAAGAGGCATGGTCTTCGGGCCCTCAGCAAGGGAATCCTCCTACCAAATTCATGCTATGACCCTTGCGGGCGATTGCAAACCTCAGAACGATCGGTTTCCACCACACCGGACCAACTGCCCAAAAGGCCATTCATAAGACCAGAAGCCCGGAACGTGCAAAACTGTCCTCGCCCATGAAGCCCTCGTCGAGGAGGATCAAAGCGAACATGATCTGCATGGCCTTAGAGTACCACAACCTACTTGTTGTAGGCTCCTTATTCCTTCGTTCTGAACCCTAATACGAACTTCATAGAGGACCCCTACATATCAAAAGGTAGATCTCTGGTAGTTTACGGTAGATCTACTCACCGCAAGAGATCGACCGAAGAGACACCGAAAGCATCCCTCAAGCATAAACCCCCCGAAATCCCAGCAGCACGAAAACGAGCAACTAGACAGAGTAAGAAACAGCATCCCACAAAACTCCAACAGAACTCCAAGCGGCACAGTTCACTCAGATCCGAAGCTTTGCCCCCTAAACCATAAACCAGGAAGAGGAAACCCTAAGCCGCACCCAACACCATCCTTATATCAAAGTACCCTTACAGATCCCTTATAGACCCCTTTAAGGATCGCCTTTAAAGGAACCCTCTAAGGCCCCTATATCAACCCTAAACCCTAAACCCTAAACCCCAACACCATCCAAGCGGCACAGTTCACCAGCAGCAGAACCACAGCGTAGACCATGTCAAAGCGGCCAGCACGCACGAGGCCGATGACCATCGGGATGCTCCAGGCGGATTCCTGGGAACTTGGAAGGGGATGCCTCTTGGAGGGTTGAGTTTCCGGTACCCCAAACCCTAAAGCCCTAACGCCCTAAACCATAAAAGTCCTAAACCCTAAACCCTAAATCCCCAAACCCTAAAGCCCCATCAAACCTTATAGTCCCATGATCCTTCAAGTAGTGGACTGTACTTAGGCTTAAGGGTTTACGGTTTAGGATCTAGGCGGATTCCTGGGAAGGGGGGCTGCCTTCGAAGGGTTGGGGTCGAGGGTTCCCTAAACCCTAGAAAGCCTGAACCCCAAACCCTTTCACCCTGAAACCCTGAAACCCTAAAGCCCTAAACTCTAAATCTCTAAAGCCCTAAACCTCAGATCTCTAAACCCTAAAACCCTAAAACCATCAACCCTAAAAACCCGAAGCCCTGAATCGAGAGGTTGGAACTTTGGTTTGAATTCGAAGCCTTAAACTAGTATCCTGCTGCTTTAGGGGTGTGGCTTTGGAAGTAGGATTTGGAGACGACTGCCTGGATGGTCTGTATTTAGTTATGGGTTCAGGGTTTAAGGGTTTAGGGTTTGGGTTTTTAGGGTTTCGGCTTTTAGGGTCCAGGATCTATCTTAAATCTTAGTTGCTGAGTTCCTAAGCCCCAAAAGAATTTACACTTTCAGTTTTATAGTGGGTAATATTATCCCAGAAAGTGTAAAGCGCATCCACTCAGCTACTAAGATATAGTTACTCCGTTGCTCATGACTGTCGGCTTAGCGATGAGCTTGGAATTTGAAGTCTGTGCATGGGTGTGTGGGTTAAAGACAGGGTAGAGCTCTGCTGATTTCGGTTTCGGGCCGTGGCAACTTCCCAGAGCCAGTAACCACTAGCTGCCCCAGCACAAGACACGCGAGAGTTCTGGGTTCTTATCCTTTCCGAGAACCCGCCACTAAAAATGCAGCCATTCAGACAGCTCCTCAGATGAGGATAGCAATATGACTTTAGCATTGGCATACAGAAGGCCGCAGGCAGTGTTGCCTGTAGGGTTGTATTCTAAATTCAGGTAGGACCAGCCCCAGCTGCAAAAGAGCATGGTCCCCGCCCCCGGCCACCCTCTCCCTCCCCCAACCCTACCTCGAAACTCACGGAGATCTCCTCCATCTCTTCCGTATCCTCCACCTCCTGGTCAGGGGCTGCAGGGGAGTCTTTGTAGAGACTCGGCAGTGCAGCTAGGAAGCCTCTGAAAACCCTAAAGCCCTAAACCCAAAAACCCTAAACCCAAAGCCCTAGACCCTAAACCCGAAGCCCTAAGCGCTAAACCCTAAAACCCTAAACCCAAAGCCCTATGCCCTAAACCCTAAAACCCTAAAACCCTAAACCCTAAGCCCTAAACCCCTAAAACCCTAAACTCGAAGCCCTAAACACCCCCCGTAAAACCCTAAACTCGAAGCCCTGACTCTGAGATCTGGGCCTCTGGGCAGTTGCGTTAGGACGGAGACCTGAAAGGCTCCATAAGCCCTCGCGGACTCGGAGCTCACAAAAAAAATAGAACTCTGCAAAAAAATGAAACACGAACCACGTCATAAACATCTTACACAAACCTGTCGAAAAAAACATCTAAAAACTCCAAGAAAAACCCTAGAGAAGCCTCTAAGAAGCCCCCTTGCCAACACCCCTCCTGTCGGCCTAGACCAAGATCATAAAACCCTACGGCGACCCCTTTAAGAACAGAAAAGGGCAACTGCCATCGAAGAAGCGCTGAACCCTACAAACCCTAAACCCCTAAACCCCTAAACCCTAAACCCAAAACCCCAAACCCTAAACCCTAGACCCTAAACCCTAAATCCTAAACCCTAAATCCTAAACCCTAAACCCCTCCAACGAGAGGCGCCTCGACCGGAATCGTGGTGGCGTCAGGCGAGGCGCAGTTGTTGGTGAAGTTTGAGAAGTTACCTTGGATCGATTTAGAGTTTTAAGGTTTAGCCCAGATCTTCCAAAATAGGAATATACCTTAAATGATATTGCAGATCCTACTATAATTTAAGGTATATTCCTCAATTAAGGGGTATTAGAATCCCCTAAACCCCATAGATCCCCTATAGATCCCTTAAAGGAACCCTTAGGTATATTCCTTAATTAAGGGATTGTGGTAGATCTGAGAAACTTTCATTGGCGGCTTCAGGGCTTTAGGGTTTGCGATTTAAGGTTGAGGGCTTTAAGTTTTGGGGCTTCGGGGTTTAGGGTTTAGGGTTCAGAGTTTAGGGTTTAGGGTTTAGGGTTTATTTGGGGTTTCGGCATTAGGGCTTAGGAAACTAAAAGTTTAATTGAGAGCTTTCCGTTAGGATTCTGCGGCTCTCAGATTTAACAACAACCCCGAATGCGAAAGCCCACGTCTAGGGAGGGTTGCAGAGACCCTAAACTCTTGGGATCAGAAGCCTGGGATTAGCTTTGAAGTGCTTTGGCTTCTTGCTGTTGAACTCAGAAAGCTCCTCTGATACCTTGAACTTAAGCCCTTACCCTTAAGCCCCTAAGCCCTAAAACCTGAACTTAAGCCCTCAAGCCGCAAAATCCCAAACCCTACCTCTCCCCAAACGGGCTCCCAAACCCTACTCTCCCCAATACGGGGCCAGGCGTCTGTGCTTATTGGAGTTGGGCTCGCCGTCCGAAGCCACCTTCCAAATGGAGTTCCGAGTGCTCTTCTCGCCAGGAGCTCCTGTGGGGCTAGTTTGTGAAATGTTGTCAGGGTGTAAGGCCCGGGGTTCAGGGAGTAACTAAACCCTAAACCCTAAACCCCTACAGTAAACCCCAAACCCTATAAAGTTCAGAGTGCTTAGCGTTCAAAGGTTACGGTTTAAGGGTGTAAGGCTTAGGGCTCAGGGTTCAACGTGCAGAGCTTCGGTTTTTTTTGCTGATGTCCTGTTGGTCGGAAGCTTAGGGTTTAAAGGTTAGGGTTTAAGGGTGTTGGCTGCTTAGGCGGTTGCGGGTTTACAGTTTCGGCTTGGGGCTCAGACTTGAAGTGGAAAAGATGCTTTACACAGATGTTTTCGAGGGTTTAGAGTTTAGGATTTAGGGTTTAGGGGTTTTAGGGGTTTAGGGGTTAAGGGTTTAGGGTTTCTTTCCACCGCACCGTTTGTCACCACATAGCAGGGTTGAAACTTGAGGGTTTGGAGAGGTGGGGCTCTTGATGAAGAACGGATCTTACAAACCGTCGTAGAGATCTCTTGATAGACTCTGAAGTCTGCTGAAGTCTGGAGACATGTAGGGATTTGAAACGAAGAGGATTCAAGCGTGGGATAGAGCTGACAGACTGAATACGAAGACATGACATGACTAGGACTGGTGTATGCTTCATATCTCTGGAGCATTGAACCCTGGAAGCCTTGCTGAAACTTGGGTGTGGTGTTGAGGCTCTCATTTTGGTTTTAGGACTGGCTGAAGTTACACCTCGTGATACGGAGCTTCCCCTGCAGGAATTGCAAATGTCCTGAAGGGCGCTTCTCTCACGAAGCACTCGAAACTGCGATGGGGAGCCACAAGCGATACTGTAATACAACAGTCTGGGAGGCCCAATCCCTGAATCAATAATCCAGAAACAGAGACGGCACGAACGCGGGTACATAGAAACCAAAGCCACTAACCAAAAGCCAAGCCTGATACCAAGAGAGCGGTACCGAATGAGACAACCCTAAACCTGACATTCTAGACCCCAAACCCTAAACCCTGAACCCTAAACCCTGAACCTGAAATTCTGGACCCCAAACCCTGAACCCTAAGCCCTGAACCCTCAACCTGGACTTCTGTCCTGATTGGACCGAACCCTCAAAGGTCCTGCTCCCTACTAAAGCCGAAACCTTATCACAACAGGCGAAACCTAGGCCGCGAAACTTTAAGAACCGCAACAGAACACAAAACCCAAAAACCCCAAAACCCCAAGCCCTAAAGCCCTCAAGTCCCAAAGCATTAAAACCGCAAGCCGAAAGCCCTTGTCCTTACCTGAAACCTAAACGTCCTAGCCCCAAATACCCCCCAAAAACCGACGCCAAGCGGCCCCTTGCTAGCGGTCTCATCTCCAGGGCGCCCAGGCGCGTGTTGATGCTCTGAAGGTCGCTTTGGACCTCTTGGCGGAGCCTCCGCGCCGGCGGGAACTTTTTTGGTGGCATCTAGAAAGGGCTCGAAATTTCTTTGGAAGTTTGTGTATGACGACTGACGACCAAATCCGGCCATCCCCTGGGATCCCTTAAAGCAAACTCCAAAGACAAAACTCGTCGAACCGCAGAGACCCGAAAGCCATGGAGCCAGCGACCCAAAGGACCCTAACTTAAGGCCCACACCCCGAAACCCCAAACCGAAGGCTGCTACGTTGATAAGCCCAAAGTTCGAGACTCGGGCATGAAACCCCGAACCCTTCCAGCGCTCTTTCAGGAAGCCTAGTAGTAAGATATGAGCACCCCCAAAAAATAGGAACTTCCTGAAACCCCTCAGAAAACCTCCTACATCCCCCCCCCTTTAAGGAGCCCCCCTTTTAAGGAGCCCCCAACTTCCAAGGCTGAAGCCGGGGCCGAAAGCCGAGGAACTGGGGTAGATTAGATTACGATTACAGGAAGGAGCCCCAAACAGTTTAGGGTTTAGGGTTTAGGGTTTAAGGTCATGACCCAGGCCTCATAAAACCCCTTTCAGGAGCCCCTTAAGTTTCAGGAACCCCAAAACAATAAGGGAGTGACTCAAGCCTCTAATTACACTAGCCGAAGGCCGGGGGACTGCAGGAGCTCCCAACGAAGATCTTTCACCGACTCGTCGTTCTGGGCTTTCTGAATCTCCAGCCGAACCTCCTCGCACTCTGGAGGGCTTTAAGGGCTGCAGGAGGGCTTTGGGGCTTTAGGTCTGAGGGCTTTAGGGCTGTAGGGATCTGTAGGGCGTTATAGGGTCTTAGGGTTCAGGGATTGTGAGGTCGGTTTAGGCGATATGGGGGTTGGGACGTGTTCCGGATTTGTGGCTTGGGGTTTCGAGGTTTTGCCTGTAAAGTTTCTGCAGATCTTTTCGGTCCTATAGGCAAACAAAAGCTGCAGCAAGCGTACATGGAAAACGTCGATGCTGTCGGTGCTAGGAGAGTGCCCTCCGGTGTAGAATGGTTTAGGCTTTCAGGGTCTGAAGATGTCACACTACCATAGCAGATCATGCACCTTACATCTCTTGACCACAGTTCTGTACTTTGGGCGGCGGGCCGTTAAGGTCTCGGATAGCTACGGGAGAGCTGGGGAGGACTTCGGTGAAAGCCTAGTCATTGCGGGAATACTGACCCTTAAACATTGAACCTAAACACCGAAAGCCTGTGCTTGTAGGTCTCGGCAATCCTTGCTCGGACCCTGTCGGAATCTTAGGTGCTACGAGGGCTTAGGGCGGAAAAAACATTCCGGAGTTTCGACTGTCAAGCAACACTCGCGAACCAACTTCAATCGTGGAGGGTTTGGGAGGCGGCGGGCTCGGGTTTCATGGCACCCCGAAAGTCTTTCTAGCGACGAGATTCCTCTGTGAAGTTTTATTTCAAAACAAGTTCGGGACCTCGAACCGCAAACTCCCCTTACCTTGATCGTCATTCTTTGAAACCCTAACTAACCCAAGAGTCTAAGAGCCCCAAACACCCCAAATGCCGGGCTCCTGCCGCAGCAGCTCCCACAACTGCTCGTCGTTCGTAAGCGTTGGGGTCGGCATGCCGCTACAACACTATACACGTCTACTTTTGCAGCGGACCCTGACCCCAACGGACCAAGCTACAGACACTCTCGGGTTGATAGTGCCTACGTCCGATATGACTGAGACGATTGCGGAAGAATGCGAATTGCTTATCTTCTTGGGTTTTGTGGGCTTTCCCAGCCACCAGCACACCGACAGACTGCAAGCCTAGCTAAACCCTCCTCCAGAGTTCCATTACATCCAATCCCAAACCTCCGTGATTCTCAACGTCCCAGTCGAAGCTCACATTACATCTCCAGCTGCCTAAAACCTTTTGCAACCCTCATAGCCGCCCTGATTCGCCTTTTTGGGACTCTCATAGATCCTAACTTCTCTGCACAGGAACCTCAACACGAAAGGCTGCCATCGGAGCCAACATGCAGGAGCTGCAGCTTCAGGATTCGACGCCGTCTACACTCTAACTATCTGCATCTGCATATATCCGCATGACCGCACAGCCTTCTGATTTAAGACCTCTGGCCTAAGATTGCACTTCATGGCACACGGCCTGGGACAGTCACGGGTCCAGAATTGAAGGAAGATGAGCATTAACGAGGACTTGTTCGGACTGGTTTTAAGGAAACCCGGGTAAGTTGGATCTTGAAGTCGCAATCAGTGGAAGTGGCCTCGGAGTTGAGCAGCCCAGCGTGGTCTGACGACATCTTTCGGAGGCTTCAGGGGTCTGTTGCTTCAGCCACTCAGCTCGCAGGCTGGGTTGACTGTAGTGTAGCCTGCTCACAGACTTCAAGCTTATGGAGATCATACAGTCAACTATCTCAGGTACATCCTCAAGCTCGAACACCGGGTCCTAAGGAAAAACGAAGATGAACAAATAAAACCTCGGAAAGAAACGTACTATCAGTATCAACAATGTCCAACCTTTCTTTCATAGGCCCTGAGTTGTCCTTGAAGGCGTGCCCCCAAAACCGTGACTGGCGAAGCCGCCGAACCTCCACCTCAAAAGCTCCCTAACCTGCCTGGAACCACCAGAACCTTGAACCTTTCAGATGCCTGGAAAGCGTATGGCCCATCGCGCCGAAGATTAAACACACGCAAACAAGCAGAAACATCCAGAAACAGATCTTACCCCGCACAATGTCCTTCGGTGCTCCGTGGAATCAGCCATGGCGTCGGCCGCAAGCATCAAGGCTTTTCGCGGAAGTGACGTTCTTCGGCTCTGGCTTCGGATGGGAGATTTTGGGGTTCAGGCTGGAGTCACGGGCTTCCAGTCTTCAACGTCGTGAGCCGTCCGTCCGCAGCAAATTGCAAGCAAGCTCTGCAGTGCAGACACGAGGATGTTGGCGTCGGATGTTGGCTGTTTTGGGCGGCGCCTCCCGTCGAGCCGCAATCCGCGGTGAAACGAATCCTATACTTGAGGCAGGTTGCAAGGCAGACGCTGAACTCAGACCTCATCGCAACCCAAAGCTGAAGCCAGGACTAAACCCCCGGAGGGCACTAGACCAATGTCAGTATTAGTCAGTGGACACCATGGTACTCTGCTGAGGTTTCGGATATCTTGCTGATGCATTACATGCAGTCGGAGCGCACACGTCGAGGGTAAACCGCCACATGTCCCTTGCTCTCAAGACTGCACTGTGCGAACTCCCAACTGTTTCATGGCTTGGAAGGCAGAATCAGGCCTCTAAGACCAAAAAAACCGACTCGGGGTGACACTGCGTCGTCGACTGCGTCGGTTCCTGTCCTCCGCCCTCAGCTCCAAAAGGCTCGTCTTAGACATCCGCGTGGCTCTGACCATGGCTCTGAGCTGCTGGCTGCAATGTCAGAAAGGGCCGGTCTTTGACCGCAACCTTCATAACCTGCACGGCAGAGGAAGCTGCAGCGATCCGACAGTTTCACTCCAAGCTGGCTAAAGACAGAAGTAAAGCTAGTGGACACAAGTCGCCGCTCCAGCTGTGGATCTCAGCTTCCCATGATCCCCCCAAGGCACGCTTCGTCCCGCTTACTTGTCCCACCTCCAAAATTGTCTGCGTAGATGGCTTAAATCAGGACCCTCAAGGCACCGAGGCTCTTGAGAGCCCTCCTGCCGAGTTATTTCCCCATGCGCAAAGGTTGCGCCTAGATTCGATGGGCCGTCGCGGCGACACATGCTATCATCTCCCCTGGCCGAACACCCTTTGGACACATGAAGATTCAACTTAGCTCAACCTCTCCAGCATTTCGTGGAGGTGCTGGACACTTCGCAGCTTTGCCTGGGGCTATGCCATCTGTGAGAGCCAATGCTAGATTGAAGGTGAAATGCGGATCCCGTGAGGACGAAAGTGCTGGGCTGCACAAATCGTTGTGCATTCCAGGAACCCAATCGCCCAGGACGAGGGCAGCGAAAAGTGTAAGTATGTGTGTGTGTGTGTGGAATTCCTGTGTCTAAGGAAGACATCTTCTCCGACAGTCCTGTAATGCATATACGAGAATGCAGGGGATGCAGGGGGCCGCAGGCTTACCATCGGAGCTGCGGCCAACGAAGACCTCCGACGGTAAGTGTGAAAACGTACCTGCTGAAAACAACCATATCTCTTCTGAAGACTTTCTGTGGAGATTCTGAATGCAAGCTTCTGAAGACTTTCTGTGGAGATTCTGAATGCAAGCTTCTGAAGACTTTCTGTGGAGATTCTGCATGCAAGCTTCGTATGCCTGCTCGAAGAGCGTACACTTCGAAGCACAATTCGAAGCGTGAAGAGAAATGATGGCAAGACAACCAGCTCAGACTGGGTATGTGTGTGAATCCCGGTAGTAATTCTGCCAAAGCGCTGCCGGACCCTCGGTCTGCGGGGGGCATGATGAACACACCCTGAGTCCCTGGTCAGCATTCTGAATAGTGGACTTCAGTCTACTTCTAACGCTGAATACATTCGAACGCTGAGATGTGGATTCCACCGGCCGATGAATTCCTCCGAACGATGAAGACATATGAATACATCCGAGTGATGAAGACTTCCGATTGATGAATACCTCCGAACGATGAATGCGCTGAAGACTTTCTACGCTGACTAATCTGAAGTCCACCTCTAGAGACTTTCCTGCAGTCCCCATCCCATTCGGCCTGGTAATGTAACTATTGCAGAGGCGGTGTGTCAAAATTCGGAATCAGGCCGTCCGAAAAGCTCTGACACACAAGTAGGATGATGCTGCCGATGCTTTAGTAGATTCGAGCGCTTAAGTTGATGATGTCTACTACTAATGCGTCTCCTGAATACCACCTCTGAAGACGCAAAAAATGGTGTTTTGGGTGTTGGTATTCGGTGAAGACCGCCAAGCTGCTATGATGAAAGGACTATCTTTATGTGTGTTTTACCAGATGATGTATCCATTAATGTGCCTCCTGAAGACCGCCTCTTTTGGCACTTGAAGATGGTGTTTGAAATGATGATTTCGCTGAAGGCCTCCAAGCTGCTACATTATTGTGCCTTCTGAATACCACCTCCTTTGGCACTTGAAGGTGGTGTTTGAGATGATGTTTTCACTGAAGACCGCCAAGCTGCTAGTATGAACCGGTTCTACCGGGATCGTGTGTGTGCAACTCCTGTATCCAAGGGTTTTGAGTCTCTAAAGCTTCTGCACTGATGCATTGTATTGGAAGAAAAGCAAGGAGTTGAATATCTAAAGCCTCTGTGTCACTGCATTGTATATGAAGAGAAGCAGGGGGCTGGCAGCCTATTCCGTGATGCCAGCCAACGAAGCTAGCGGAATGGGTGGAAGGAGCTATGGACGCATAGCTCTGTACCTGCAGTCGCACTCGCTGATCGATTTGCATCTTCAGTTTTATGAGCCTTGAGTCCAAAACATTCAATTGTATCGCTCATCTACTGTATATACATATATATATATATATATGTCTTTGAGATGAACCTGGACCAAACGAAGATTTCTGAGGCCTCTGTATTCGAACTCAAAATAATCCAGATATGAAGATTTTGCAGCGAAGCAAGAAGTATCAAAAGGAAGTGTGAAAGAAACACTACGAGACAACCGGCAGAGACCGGATTTCCACGTGTGTCTTTCGGCTGGTAATTCTGACAGAGGGCCAGTCGTGATGGTTGCAGATGCGAGCCCTCCAAGTATACCCAGGACATCCGAATTATTCCCAAATGAAGAGATTCAATTCTGGTTTGCAACCAGACTGCTTTGCAAAGACCCAATGCTCTTTAAAGGGTAACGCAATCCCAGGTATACCCCTGCCAGAAAGCACCGAAGCATCTCTGATATGTCTGTTCGCAGGTGTATCAGACTATTGTATCATAGCATACCCAAGAAGGTCCAATCATACCCAAGGTCATTCATTGAGAATGATCACCCAAAGATGATCCATTGTATTGATAGCTTTCTGCTGAGCAGTTCCCAAGCTGATCCAACGCTCTATGCGATCCGAATTATACCCAAGCTGGTGATGACATCCGAACTATACCCAAGCTGAAGATGATGATCGTCCGTTCGCCACCCAACAAGCACCCAGCGTCCGTAGGCCTTTAAGGCCTGTGCGTTTGTAATGTGATAAAAAGTTGATGTTCCAATAGTAGTTATAATCTTCATCATCATCAAATGCTGTAGCCTTCGTGACTAGGTTTCGATCGCCACCCAAAGCTGATCCAGCATCCGTGCAATCTCGTTTCGTTTCATCTTATTCCCATTAAAAGCATTCGTGCTCAAGAGGACGACAGGCGAGATCAAAAGCAACAAAGGCGAGATGAGGATCTACAAAAGTATCCAATGTTTGTTAGGTTGTTTCTTCTAATGTTTCCTGACGTTGCATTATACACTACTTTTCAAAATTTGCAACTTGCGTATTCTTCTTCTAGCCATGCCGACGGTCCAAATCAATGTTTACCGTTCCAATTCGGCTTCGAGATCTGAAACGCCGCGCCGAAGAAGTAGATCTGCTCGCCGAAGAAGAAGTAGATCTCCTCGCCGAAGAAGTAGAAGTGGACGAAGGAGACAACAAAGATTTGCTAGGCGCTCGCCATCTAGACAGCGTCGTAGACAACGACGTAACAATGACCCACCTCGAGAATGGGTGGGCACTCAAGAACCTCCAAGCAAATTCGGTACCTTCAGCCATTAGGGATCCGGCAACAAGACAAGCTGAAAGATTCTTGGAATTAGAGAAGGGTTGAGTTTTAACTAGTGTTTAGGGCCAAGTTTAAGGACTTTCTCTTTGTTGAGTTCAATGTTCTTTCAGTCGCTAAGTCGCTAAGTAAACAAGGACTTTCTGCAATTCAGTCAGAACCTTTACCGGCACCCCTTTCTGCACCCGTACCTGCACCTTTACCTGCACCTTTATCAACAGTAGATGTGCCATTGACATCATCAGTGCAGTTTGGAGCATTTGCACCTACAGTTGGGCAATCACCTATGGAAGGAGTTGGCTATCATCGACGTTTGCTTCTCAACAAGCACTATTTTTCTGGGCCTCCTCCTCCTGTGGGTAAAGATGAGGATATCAAGTACGAACTGGAAGAATCAACAAAGGTTCAAATTCCAAATCCTGCTCCGCCTATGGGTACTTTGAAGTTGACTCTTTGTGGATCCCTCCTTGTGGAAGTCCTATCAACTTTCTGAACTCAATACCTATGCAAAGCGCAAGAAGTTTGTGGAGCCAGTCCTCAATAGAGCCCTGCAGGTTCCTGAAGATAAACTACAGTCTGTTTGCAAGGAGCTGATTCAGATGGTATCTAAGAAGTCACCAATGTTTCCTATGGATGCCAAGACATTGCAGATTTTTGCATTGGCTTTGATTTCTAATGATCTTCAGGTTTCAATGGTGATTGAAGGAGCAGCAAGTTGGCAGATTGATGGGATCAACATTTGGCTTTTTCGGTTGAAGGGAATGCCTGGACCCAACTTTGCGGAGATTCCAACGAACTCAACGTCATATTATCATTGGTATCATGCTGGTGGAATTGAAACTATATTTGGAGCACTGGCAACTGGAACGATTCTTCCATGTTGCTCTGACGGTCTTCAACTTCCTCCATCAATTCCTCTTCCAGGGTTCTTTGCGAGAGTACGTAGAGAAGATTCGCAAATTACACAAGAACAGCTACTCCAAGACTGTCGAGATGCATACGCATGCGAAGAACGGTCACGGAATACACTACTCCGGCGCTATTTTAGGCAACCACATCAAGCTTCCGCGAGCATCTACGTGGTTAGAGCAGTTTACTTGCTTTAGAGCTGGACTTGTAAAAAGCAAGAGCACTGACAAACGTTGGTGCATTAGAGCTGATTGTGGTAAGATCCAGCTTGCTTGCCTTACGTGCAAGCAAGAAGCTTAGATTGGCGAGGAACTTTTGGCGCGCATTTGTTTCACACCCGCATCAGTGCTTAAATTTGTGGTTGCGATTCGGATTTCTGACATGCCTTTTTGGTTGTGTGCAATGTGACATGATGGGTTGATACATTTTGGATGATGTCAAGTAGCATGTTGGATCAAGCATATTAAAGGATTGCAATGGCCAAGAAGAAGAAGTACAACAAGGTTCACAAGAAGAAGGAAGCTAAAAAACTCAAAAGAAGGAGACTACCAAAAAGTCTCGAAAGAAGCCATCAAAGAAGTCGTCTAAGAAAAGACAGCAGTCTTCTGCTTTGTCAAGCTCGTCTTCTACAACTTCTTCATCATCCTCTACCAGTACATCGTCAAGCAAATCTGAGCCACCACCTGTCCAATTGAAGTATCCCTCCTGGGAAAGAAAACGTCCTGTGTACATTGGAGAAGTCTTTCAAGATCCTAAAGATGGGACGATTATCAAAGTTGTTCGTGGCAGCAACTATTCTCGTATCAATACAGCTGTGAATAACATGAAAG